TTTGTGAGTAAGCAACAGGTAGAGGTTGAGACTGTGCGGCGTCACGCGAGCACGCGACGCCCGGTCGCGACGGGCGTGGTCGTGCGAGGGGACCCGCCCTGTGCGTCCAGCACAGAACACGGAAGAAGCTCTTCTTTCTATATTCTGTGGCAACTATGAACAAACGGCCGCAGTCACTCACGCACCACGGTGCTTGTCCCATACCATTCTACATTTCTACCTCTACTATTTATTAGTTACTTCCCTTTTCCACGAACTACTTATTAACTGCATTGTGCTTCATACAAAGTATGGGTAGATATTTCAGTCACGCACGACGCAGTCAAGGAAATTAAAAATCAGTACAAGACTTGAAAACCTAAAAAAGTAAACAAGTCGATACAAATTCTATTAATGTTAAATTGAGGTTGTTGTAACTCAACAAAATGTCAGTTTTAATTACTACGGAACAGAATCGGAAATATCTCTAATAAATAACTCCGTGATGGAACGACTGAGTGACGCTAATCGATTTAAACACGATTATGATCTAACATGCATTGATTGAACTAACTATTACTGGTTTACTTTTATTTAGTAATTGGTATAATAGGTATGGTACGGACAATTTTGTTGACACACAAAACTATTTATATGACAAATGTTTCGCTGACAGTTGCGTTAGATATCATGTCCCTTAGCTAGTTGCATGTCTGTATGTATTCTTTACTCGATAAATTGGTTGCGTATGAAGTAATGCCTAAAGTTAAATTCTGACTGTCCTGCGCGTGTCACGATTTGCTACAGCTCAGACGAATAAATAGCGAGACTCCCTAATCATGTACGAAAGCTATAACAACATGATTAGTGAGTGAGTAAAACTCCGTATTGGTAATGTTTGGTCAGTGTCAATTCAACCGCCGCATTGAAGCTACGTACACGCTACACAAGGCGATGGATATTACACGACGACGGATATTTACCACCTGACATGCTGTTCAACAGGCCTTTTAGTTCCCGACTACGATACCAAAGACAGGAAGTCTTGCTAGGTAATTTAAAATAAACCAATGATGTGCTAATGTGCACGAGAGCTTTTGTGAAATTTTATTTCGCCACATTTTGTTTCTGACTGCCATAAATTTTGTCTCACATAGCCTTAACCCTGTTTTAGTAAGTTGACATTACATTCGTTGTAGATGGCCGCTCGCAACATAAAACAGATATTTTATGTGGCCGACACGTATGTAATATGGCCCATATAAAGCTTTTCGTATTTGTTTGACGCTTTAACACAGTACATTTCACGTCGCAGTTTATAGGTTTGAGTTTTGAGTATTATTATTTATTCTGTGGTCTAGTTACTAAAGTATTCATAGCGAAACTACACATATCGAAGACGCGCTGGCTAATATTGATAGGATAATTTTCGTATACTATTTTACCTATTGATTTTATTATAAAATTCTTAAGCAGTCTCGTAAAATAATAGCGATACAAGCGAGTTTCCTAAGTCTATTTTATATATGTTGAGTAAGCTATTTTTCTTGGCGCATTTTTTTTAATGTCTAACTGTGTCATAGTAAGCTGTATAAACGATATAATTTACACGGGTGGCAGGGTCCGTGATTTTCCACCGCTTATACAATTTGAAGCACATGCATCGTCTACTGAAATCTTAATCTCTCTCTCTCTCTCTCTCTCTCCAATACTAATCTAGGTCTGTGGTCATCTCCACAGCTACACCTTATAATGAAATCACTTGAGATGTCCGGTTTCGATTTGTGACAATTTAATAAAGAATGGCTGACCGAAAATCTCCAGCTCCTCCGCGTTTCGAAAGGCACATTCCGACATTTGTCTCGGCTGCATCGTAAGCTAGCGCTAGCAACAGCACAAATATACACTTGGCCCGCGTGGTGGGTTATTTCTTTCTCCTCGCTACGGATTCCTCAATGCTGAGAGTCGTGACCACTTTTTCGCAGTAAAAGTTTGTTGCTAATTACTTGATGCCATCCGTCTCGATCTGCCGCCGAGTGAAGAGCATTGTGGGCTGTGGTATCGATAGCGGTGCGAACCTGATCAGTTCAATCCAACGTGTCGGACTTCTTCCACGTGGTCTTTTTCCCTCCACTCTGCTAGTGATCATTAACCTCTCCATGTTGTCGTCATTCTTCCTGGCAATGTGGCCAAACTATTCCAGGATCGTACGTAGGCAAATGGTGGAAAGCCTTTTATGTATTTTTAGCTCCTGCAGGATCGACAGGTCATTTCACATCGCACAATATCCCTATTTAATCCGTAGGCCTGAGCCCCAGCAGTGGAGACAATATTAAACTAATGATAATGGTGAATAAAGTTTTGAACTCTACGACAATATGAAGTCTGATATAAAAGTACAGTTGAAACTCAGAGCAATGTAATGACTGTTATTATTTTGCGAGTTCAATATGACGTATTGACGTACATATTGACGTATTAGTTAAATTGACGCTCCATTTACTGTTAACGATATGAACTCTTTACGATCGAGATGCTATAAGGTAATTTGTTCGACGCAACGGTCAACGTAAATTAACAAATGGAAACATTTTCTGATACTGAACGAAGATGGTTTTGCAAAACAGTTCAACGTCGAAATGTCGATAATAAGTATATCATGGGTACTGCTTTTATAGTGTATACCATTGTTATGTTAATTTGCACTCGCGAATCAAAGCGTGAGCCTTGTAGTGTGTATCGACAAAGAATCGGAGTATCTGTAAAGAAGTTTTTTACTTATAATACCTGACACTCCTGACTGACCTGACGGGCTAGGGAATATCCAGTATGTACAACGCAATGACACAAAATATAAGTACATAGTATGTTTTTATCGTCAAAATAACCCAAAAAATGCATTATCTCTTTTAAAAGATTAAAATTTTTTTTTTCAGTGGATCATGCCCTGAAGCAGCTACTGTTTTGTGATTGATTGCAATTGCTTTATTGTTTAGCATAGTAAAACGCTCATGAACGTATGAATAAATTTTAAATATTAATGAACAGTTTACCGAGTCAAAGATCGATGATTCTCATTACATTCGTTACATACTGCAGTCATAATAAATCAAACGCTACGATTTGTGGAAATTAGTGCCCGAACAAGAAAAGCTGTGTTCATGTAGTCGTCTACGAAAGTTGTAGTTCGTAGCGGCTATCGTAGCTCCAGCCCAGCGGACGACAATGTAGGTAGGTAGTTTGTACGCGCTAATGATGTTGACACTAGAGGCGTGCTCGCTGCCTTGCTGCCGCTACAGCAGCCTTGCGATGCCCTCCCCCCCTACTCCCCTCTCATCCCCCGCGCCTTGCTCGCAGTCGCACAGTGTCTACACCAGTTCCACCACTGCACTTAACCCCACTTCAGTAAATGTGGCGCTACCCGAAATATTCCCAAATCACATTAGCGAATGCGGGAGTGTTCAAGTACGGGATACGTGATAATTTACCTTGATTACAAGAAATGGACTTTTTAAAGATAAGTGATATAAAAAAAGTGAAAGTAACTGTACTTTTCACTCTTAATACACCTGATCCTATTTTATAGTAGAAACGGAGTTTTCGGAGATACATGCTTTTTTTTTTGGCGCGAAAATAATATTTGAGCAGTTTGCCAAGATGATGAGATGAATTTTTGAATTGAAAATTGATTATTGTACGTAAATAAAATCTCGGATCCCACTAGTAATTTAAACTATCATTAATAGTACGAGTATTATAGCGGCACCATGACTTAATATACTAAGTACCATACTTTGTTTTCCGTCTTGTCACATTTCAATTACTCGTCTAATCAAGTTGGCGTCTCAATACTGCTGTGATATGTTGTTATATTATGGAATTAAATTAAGACAGTTTTAATTTAAATTAATAAATAAATACGAATTTTAAAGTCAATAGAGTCTGCAGATTCTCAATCTTTTTACAGTAGACCCGCGGTAATCCGGACCCGTTCTAATCCGGCGCCGCCCCCTTACTCCGTAACTGTTGATTGTACATAAGATCGGCCAAGTGCAAGTCGGACTCGCGCAACGAGGGTTCCGTACTAACTCAATTTAATACCTCTACAAATTTTCAATTTTTTTTTTATTATATGATGCAACAAAAAATTTACGGTTTTCGCAATTTTTCCTTTATCTGTGCTATAAGACGTTGCTTTGTACCAAGTTTCAAGATTCTAAGTTCACGGAAAGTTCCCTGTAGGTTTTGATCCCGTGCGAGTTTCGAAAATTTGCGGAAATTTCCAGCATAAACGGCTGTATCTTTTGATTGCTTTGGCTTAAAAGTTTGATTTTTTCACAGCTCCAAGGGACAGTAGACATAAGTATTAGATATGAATCGGCTTTATAGGGTGGTCTTAACTAGTACTCTATTATCCGACATTGCTCTGAGAAAAGTATGTCCGATTACCGCGGATCTACTGTATTATATATTATAACTATCAGTTCGACGCTGTTATAAAATTAAATAATCAAGTTTTGAACTTAAAAACATGAAGAATTTTGCTTGCTTTGAAACTATTTGTTGGACTTAATGTTATACGAAAATAACAAGTTCCGCTACCTTAAATGGACGCCCGTAAAACTAGTGTCCTTCACAGCTGAATGACATCTGATAGTGTACAAACGGCTGAATTTCTTCATTAGATTTTTGTATTATACTAGCGTCGCCAACTTCGAATGGATGCAACTTATCTTGTTGTTTCTACTACTTTTTCGCAATTACATAATAGGTACTTAATTTGAGCAAACAAAACTGGAATCGGTCAATTTGTTCGATATATTTTGTACCAGTCGACAGCAACTTTTTTTGAGTGATGTTCACACTTACAATTTGTTTTTATTTCCTCAGTCCCCCATTATTCAACATTAACAGATTTTTTAAAGACTTGTTTCACAGTTGATCTCAGTCTATAATCAGTGGTTTGGTCCACCATTGATCTAAGTACAATATGGTGGTTACAAATCTTGTTTTGTTCATAGGCTCCATCATGTTCCACGTGCGGCGGCGGCCGGCGGACGCGCAGCCGCGGCGGCGCAAGAAGAAAGCAGGTGGCAGCATCGGCAGCGGCGGTCGACCCGGCAACGAGCCCGTACTGTTGGAAGTAACTCCTGAAGGTGCCACGCTCGAGAACGGTCGCCGACTGCGTATTACCGACGTGGTTGAAGTAAGTCCAATCCATAGGCATAGAGATGAAGAAAGCAAGTGGCAGCATTGGCAGCGGCGATCGACCCGGCAACGAGCCCGTACTGCTGGAAGTAACTCCTGAAGGTGCCACGCTCGAGAACGGTCGCCGACTGCGTATTACCGACGTGGTTGAAGTAAGTCCAATCCATAGGCATAGAGATGAAGAAAGCAAGTGGCAGCATTGGCAGCGGCGATCGACCCGGCAACGAGCCCGTACTGCTGGAAGTAACTCCTGAAGGTGCCACGCTCGAGAACGGTCGCCGACTGCGTATTACCGACGTGGTTGAAGTAAGTCCAGTCCATAGGCATAGAGATGAAGAAAGCAAGTGGCAGCATTGGCAGCGGCGATCGACCCGGCAACGAGCCCGTACTGCTGGAAGTAACTCCTGAAGGTGCCACGCTCGAGAACGGTCGCCGACTGCGTATTACCGACGTGGTTGAAGTAAGTCCAATCCATAGGCATAGAGATGAAGAAAGCAGGTGGCAGCATTGGCAGCGGCGATCGACCCGGCAACGAGCCCGTACTGCTGGAAGTAACTCCTGAAGGTGCCACGCTCGAGAACGGTCGCCGACTGCGTATTACCGACGTGGTTGAAGTAAGTCCAATCCATAGGCATAGAGATGAAGAAAGCAGGTGGCAGCATCGGCAGCGGCGGTCGACCCGGCAGTGAGCCCGTACTGCTGGAAGTAACTCCTGATGGTACTACGCTCGAGAACGGTCGCCGACTGCGTATTACCGACGTGGTTGAAGTAAGGCCAATCCATAGGCATAGAGACGAAGAAAGCAGGTGGCAGCATTGGCAGCGGCGGTCGACCCGGTAACGAGCCCGTACTACTGGAAGTAACGCCCGAAGGTGCCACGCTCGGGATCGGTTTCTGACTGCGTATTACTGACGTGGTTGAAGTAAGTCCAATCCATAGACATAGCGATGAAGGAAGCAGTATCGCCACCCGACGTCAGACGTGGCGAAAACATTGTGCTTTCAGGCGACACCCGACGCCACGTGTCAGTCGTTATAGAATTTCTCATCTTCATAATCTTATCTGACTCGGTATTAGATACATAGCACGTAACCATACGATTTCACTGCTGTCAGACAACTATTCGTATTCAAAATTTACTTGTGTATCTTGGCATCGCGTGATGGTAATATTAGCACGGTGCACATCGGGTGTCCCTCCTCCTCCTATTGGTAATCGGAAGAAATCTTAGGCTTTAATAATCCTTAAGTTGTAGGTAAACTGAGGAATGAGAATTATCACGATTTTAAACTAAACGATTTATCACGATGTTGGAGAACAAGCTTAAAGTTTAATTGAGTTTTGAAACTAACTGAATATCTTTTATGTAAATGCGCAATCGAGAGGCCAAAACGAAGATTCTTATTCTGTAAGAATCGACTTAATCACATTTTTTTCATAATTAGGTACTGCATAGTGAGATCAGAAATGCGAAAAACTAATTTTGTATGGTACCTTATCGGACTACTTTAATCACTTAAAAGTATTGTACTTCTCAAAGTCGAGTCCGTGTTCCAGATATCTGATCGATGACGTTACTGGGCGGAAATTAAGCAGCGCTTTGTTAGCAGTCACAGATAAATTGTATAGATATAGCTTTACAATTGTGCATATGACAATGAATGTTTGCTCATAATGTCTCAAGAAAAATACCTATGTCGCAAGTCAATCAGCCAACAGAAATATGAATAGAAAGTACCCAAAATTCGGACGCTTTTCCGTTGAATTTTCTTTTGCACAGACTAGCAGGATTTCGAGTAGTATAAATCTTTAGCATGTACTTATACCTATGTGAGTAACCACAAAGCGATCCGGAATTTGCTCTTGCGGTATGAAGAGTTTATGTAATATTCATATGAGGTGTGATATACAAATTTTAGATTCGGGCGTACACACATCATAAATTACAAATAGCTTTTACAAATTGGCATACCTGTTTAATAATAAAAATGACCCATTTCTATCGCACAGTAATGCTATTTGATAACGTGAATATGAAAGTAGACAACTGCATTTAATAGCTACGTTCTAGTAGGTCATCGATTAACTAGTTCTTTGTCTTTATATGAAAAAAAAAAAACATTAAGTACTTGATTTGTTAGAGTAAGTTTACTGCAGCATATGCACAAATCTAACTTCTGATATTCATTTTGGCGTTATCATTTTATCTGTATAAATAATTTATTTCGAATCATTATTATCCAGTTCAAAACGATTATAGCTAAAAGTGGCAGACAACCAACTCATCGCATTTCTCACAACCACAGAATACATAATAGTACAAGTAACAACTAAATAGCTTTAACCTGTGAAAGTGTGCCATGACGTCATCGTGGACATTTAACTGGCGTGATTGACGAGCAGGAAGAGATCAAAGTAAAACAAAGAGGAACGCTTGTTAAAGCTTTTATCGTACCACCTACAATTGTAGTTTCGACGTAATCGATGAAATGTTATTTGTCTTTTACCTTCTTACACAATGTGACTTTTCAAATTCAATCAATTATTAAAACACTTTGTCTAGTGTAACAGTCTTTCTGTTAACACACGAATGAAAATAAATAAGACATCACTACGAAAGAGTAAATTAGAAGTTACATAGGATTACGAATTTTCATTCCTTTAAACGAATCCTTTTTATAATGATCACGTTTAGTTATCTATACCAATGTTGGCACCTTACCAAATCTTGCAGCTTCACTATGAGCTACACAGCATTTAATAATAAAATATAATGGTGTCAAAGTCGTCTAGACCTGTAGTTGCAATAGTTTGCAGTGAATAGAAACAAAAAAGCTTTTTAAAAAAAAGCTTTTATTCAAATGCGCTAAAAAGAAAAAAGAAAATTTCAACTAAATTAGTTAAAGATATCTGTTTCTAAATAGATTTTCAAATTTTAGAAGTCCGCCATATTGGATTGAGAGTGACGTCACATTTTTTTCGAGTTACTCTCAGCAAGCCCTTTAATTTGATACCCATATTGTAGGAATGCATTAAAAATGATTGGTCCGCCATTTTGGGTATGCCGCCATATTGGATTTAGAATGACGTCACACTGTTAATCATGCATTGTCATCCGAACCGAACGAGCATACCAAATTTCAGCTTAATCGGTTGAGGGCAAGTGCTTTAAAATTGAGTTGTAAGATTTGACCGTAACAAACATAAATAGCAAGTTAAATAAAAGCTTGTAAAAAGCATGAAATACATAATAAAAATAAAATGAATTGCTATTGTTTTTTTAAAGATTGCGTTTTCATAAACTGAGGTTTATAAAAACGCAATCTTTTACAGTCACAATAATGAATCTGTTTTTAAAAAAAAATCCTCATAGAATATGACATCGACTAACTTTCTAGCTTTGCTAGTATAAACTAAAAAGGATTAGTGTTAACTGTGTATAAAAATTATAGTTAGCAAAGCCAAAAACGTGAAGTTTCGTTACTTACAAAAAAATTGTTTATATAATTTTGTTATAAACTTCAAAGGATTTGTATTTACTGTGTATAAAGCTTATGGTTACCATAGCCAAAAACGCGAAGTTTCGATACTTAAAAAATATTTATTATAGTATATTTTTTACATAAACAATGTTTTTTTGCCTTCAGGGGGTGCATTCTACTACCCCTAGGGTAGGATATTAGAAATGGCTGTGTACTGTACTGGTCGAGTAGCGTGTATTAGAGTTTTTACGATATTGCCGCCTAATAAGGTCATAACCGTTTATTACAGAGCCGGCCAATCGATATAAAAAACTTTCCTTTAACTCAGGTATTTGTATTAGGTGCTTTTTTTGTTTTTGGATATCTGAAAAAATATTCAGTTACTTCAAAGACTGCGATGTAAGCGATATCCGCTCGAGTTGGAACACCCAGCTGCAGTAATAATCTCCAACTTATTGAAGTCTCCAGTCAAGTTACACTTGTCTGTAATGGTGTGCTCCTTTAGTGATTTCTTATCTCCACAGAGCACGCTTCTCAGTAGTATCAGTTATCTTAACTAAATATTAGGTGGGTGGCGTTTTTTATTTCTGCTTTATGTAAAATAAAAACTAGTAAAATAATTTATTTTATATAGGTAATGGGTATTATTGGGGTTTCTGCGCATGTGCATAGGTTCGGCCTAAGCCCAGTAACACTGTCCCTCGCCTCCTGCCGCCACAGTAGTTAGTCCTCCTGCCTCTGCAGCCATTTAGTTAATCCGCCACCTTATCATCGTGGGATCCAAAGAGCGTAGCATGTAATCCTACAATTATCCTTCTTTATAGTTATTAACGGGATTGTTACCAGGTACCTTGTTTTTTATGAGTCTCCGATATTTCGGCACTGTTGCAAGCGCCATGATCACGGAGTAACTGAAGTAATTGTGGGTACATGTTATTGGCAGACATATCGGTCTACCCTTTGACGTCCTCTTGTATTGTGCTCGATACCCCTACCACTGGTTACATTCACTCTCACCTCGAGCCTACCATTTTTGTTTCTAACTTCATAAAAGGGAAAAATACTCCGAACAGGACAACGACAAATAAATGTGGAATTTGTCTCCTTTTCGCAATTTTCAGTGTTATTAAAAATAATCAGATGGTAGTTTTTACATTATCCTGGTAACCATTAGAACATGAACATACAAGGTAGTTTTTACATTATCCTGGTAACCATTAGAACATGAACATACAATAAGCATAATTTCTGAGTGCAGTTAATGATTTGATAGCAATACAAAAAAAGTTTGTTTATTGATGTGTAACATCTTTTCTCACGCTTTCCTGCAATTTGTGGGAGTGATTTCGTGAAATGGGACGGAAGTGTGTAACAGGAAGTCGCGAAAGCACGCGCTATTTGATTTGATTTTAGAACATAATGTTCAAAGGGCTTATTCCTTTTGTAGTAGGTTTTATTTCTTTTTTTACTAATTTAAGGCGAAGCTTCAAATGTTACACATCGTACGCGACTACTGTAAGGCTCGCTCGTTTTTTTTTTATATTTATACGGATTACATTATTAACACTTACATTACATTAACACTTGCGATGCTTTCAAAACAACATGGCCTTAAATCTACCGGACTTATATCTTATTTATACTAACTACAAATTGTTTTGGTTAATTATTATGATTTGTTGGTGCAACATGGTGAAAATTTGATGTGTAATGGTGAGGCGTAAGCTGGTTGTGGAATTTAATTTTTAGGTAAGTTTACTTTTGTTTACAAATAACTTGTGTAGGGTGACAAAACATTTACGATTCTCCTATGGAAATTATATGTACTACGTTGTAATTGTAATAGAAAACATACGGAAGGTCATTATTATCAACGAAGTACCTACAACCCGATATTTAGTTGTATGAGAAGTTAAAGAAAGGCCAGGATCAGAAGTACTCTAAACCGACGTGCATGTATGATGTAATGAGAGTGAATGAGGCATAATTGGTACTTATTTTGCCTGCAAGAATCGTAGTAAGTAGAAATCCTTTGTGCCTGACTTCCAAACAGGCATGAGGTTATGTGTGCATGTAAGCAGATTAAATAATCATTCAAATATTAATGTGTTATGTTTGTATGTATTATATTATGGTTTGTATTTATATATGTATCTATGTTATTTTGTACATATATTCGTATTTATCTTTATACCGCCGTTCGTGTTTTTCATTTTTCCCAAAGGGAGAGAATGCTATTAGCATTGAGTCCGCCTTTTGTACCATTGTTATATATTTTGGTCAATAAAGTTTAAAATAAATAAATAACTAATAATAATATTTTATTATTCTTGCAGTTTCCCAAAGAATGAGAACCTTCGGCAACAGTGGCTTGAAATTTTATTATTTAAAAACAAATATTCAAGCTATAGTTTAATTTGCAGTCGTCACTTCAAGTCTAAAGATAATAAATAATACATAAAATAAATAATAATAATGTATCTAAATAACTAATACATTAATCAAATATTATTCAGTGGTTTTGCTTACTTTTTTGTTTTCCTTGGTGCCTAAATTATACATAAAAATTATTGAAAAACGCATCGTTTGTCAAATTATAATAAAAATCGATAATAAAGATCCGTAATCGTGTTAAATTTTAGGAAAAAAGAGACATTAAAATATTTTACATTTGAGTCACATACGGGGATTATAAGCTTGTAAGGTCGATTTAAGATTTAATATTTTTTTGGACTTTCAAGCTAATGATATAGAATTGAAAATCAGGAGGTTTCTTTACCCAAATAAAAATATGTCATCAATGAAGTTACTGTTTGGGAACACTACTAGAAAGAGATAGCTTACACCAATGCATCTTTGCTCTTCGGAATGCTTTCTTTTGATGGTCACGTAAGCATTCCAGTTAGATTAAAAGTTCCTTGCTCCGTAATCATGGCGCTTGGAACAGTGCCGAAATATTGGAGACAATCCCGTTAATAACTGTAATGTTAGTGACCATGAAAGTTTAAAACAATAAATATAATTTTTGGTACAGAGTGCGTCTTTTTTAGCAAAACTGTTTCGTTGCAAATATTCCGTTTTCAAATATCTATTTAATTTCTATAGGTGGGTTCTGGCAACGGCACCGCGCTGCAATTGTACGGGCCTTCAATACAGCCGCGGCACTGCGTGGTTGCGCCGGCGGACGGCGGCGGGTACACCGTGACGCCGCTCCACGCCGATGCGCATGTGTACCTCAACGGACGACGCGTAACGCACACCCAGCGGTTACAGGTGAGCTACTGGAACAACTAGCTAAGGATAATAGACCTGTACATTTATTCTACGTTGCATACATAGGACGACGCGTCACGCACACGCAGCGATTACAGGTGGACTCCTGGAACATAGCTAGCCGACGATAGTGATCTGTACGGGCCGTCTATATTACTTGATGGCAGCGGATACACCGTGATGGCGGTCCACGCCGACGCAAATATGTACTGCAACAGTCGCCGCGTAACGCATATGCAGCGGTTACAGGGAGGCAACTAGGAACATAGCTAGCTTAGGATAGCGACCTGTACGGGCTGTTTATACTACTTGATGGCTGCAAGTACACCGTAACGCCGCACCAACGTGTACCTCAATGGACGCCGTGTCGAGCACACGCAGCGGTTACGGGTTAGCTACTGGAATATAGCTAGCTCAGTATGTTGACCTGTACAGGTCGTCTATTCTACTTTGCTTTGGGCTGGATATGGACAGCGTGTACATGGGTACGAGCAGTCGGCTACGCGTGTCCTGCAAAGCCATAAAAATACTTGTAGCTACGCGTATCCTCTACGAGTAGCAGTTTTACATAGCTAGCTCCAGATTTTAATCATATACAGTGGTTGGTGGTCGTATAATTAGAAACACTACCAACGGTCTTTGACATTATGTAAGATACTTCACCGCAATCGTTTTTATTTTCAAATTAAACAATAAAAAGGACAATAATATGTTCAACGATTTATCATTTATTAGATAAACAATACAAATCCCATTACATAAGTTAAGTTTCAATATTAATTACGGACAAACATTTAAATCAGTTTAAAGGTATGAACAATAATGGTCAACTAATTAGAAACAACAACAAAAAACTATAAAAAACAATATTTTTTTAAGTATTAGTAATTAGTTTTGTTATTTACGAAATAGCTACTATCCACAGCCTACCAATAGTTATAATTATTATTTAGTGGCGTAAACCTTATTTCCAATAACAACAGCAACGACGTGGCATTGATTTAATCATTTTCATTCCTTTTTCTAGGGGGATTGAATTCCATGCTTCGTATAGTTCGTTTTGTCTGGTGTTACGTTTGTTTGAGACTTTCTTTTTAATAATGTACCAAAACGGATATACGCTGTTCGCTAAGGAAATATTTGACGCTATTGGCCGTGTGTTAGGGTCATTGTCATGCTAAAAGATCCAAGTTACAGGCAAATGATCGTACGAGTAGGGAATCATTGTGTGCTCTAAGATATTTTTGTATTGCCACTGATCGATTGTACCTTCAATCTTCCGAACGGTCAAACTCCACATCCGGAAAAACACCCCCAAAGTTGAATGTTCCCGCCGCCGTGCTTGACTATACTCCTTGTATATTTATAATTAAAAGCATTGTTTACAGGACGTCTAACATAGCGCTTTCCATCGGGACACCTACCTATCTCTTTTTGTGCCAAAAATAAAATCCGAAGAAAAATAAACAAAACTTTCACATTTAATGTTACCCCGAATAACTGAAATAGTAACGTCTTGAAAGAAAACATTGTCACTGTCTCATTCCATTATGAAAGTGTGTACCCACACATAAACTCGTTCCGTCACATTTGCGGTCAAATCTCCGCGACGGAGCATCAAACAGCGCAACCTCATTGGAGTATTCCCCGGGGTATACGCGCGGCGCGATGCCTATTTATCACCTTTGGGATCGAATAGCTTTTAGTGCAGAGATTCCCAAACTTTTTTTCTCAAAGACCACTTTCAAACTTTTATAGGTTGCTACCTGCTTGCCCGTACTGCTACCATGTACATGTCTACCATGTTCGCAAAACTTGTATAAAATGTAAAGATTAGGTCTAACGATAGAAATTTGCGTCGTGGCTGAGTGAGACCAAGGGTCTCACTCAGGGAATACCAGGACAACTTTGAGAATTACTGTTTTACTGCTCCCTGCGACGAACCCGTGTCGTATTTCCTTTTCACACATGTCACATGATACCAATTTCATTTCCTCATTGCCAACTATAAATGTGTAAGTTGTCGAATATACCTATAGTTTTTTTGGTTATCGTAATTATACCAAATCGATGCATACTTTACAAAACGAACTATATAGAACTACTAAAGAATGTTAATAAACATCGCTGACGCGCCCGGTTATTAAATTAATTATTCAGCTCCACCACAACTTCTATGCGTTCTATATTTAAATGCTGCGAAGGTTCCCGAATTCTCGTCTTTAAATTATGCTTATGAGTTCCATGCGTTGTTTGAGAAAATACCTGCGAATTTACTCAAACAACGCATTTAACTCACAACGAAACGGCAACAGTCAATGGAATTCTTGTATCCTAATTCCTAATTCATTATTATAAAGTCTTTGATTAAGAAGTTTACAAAGTTTTGTTTTAATGTTTTGAACGTTCTTTGTAATTCTGCTTAAATAACTTAAAATCTGTTATATTAAAGCTGGCACTCCAGTAAGCTATATATTAGAATAAATATTAACTATTTTTTTATGTTTCGTTTTTTCTCTAGCATGGCTGTTTGCTTAAATTCGGTCGCGTTTCAACGTTCCGTTTCGTGGACCCCATGCAGGAGAACATCCTCAACAGAAACCTTTCACAATCGCAACATTTTGGATCCGGCTCCATCTATGACAGGTCAGCAAACAAATAACACACAATTAACTGCCTAAATACATGTTGTGGTCTGTAGAAACTACCATATTCAAACAAAATCTTTTAGTTCAAAACTTAGTCAACTTATCCACAAATTATGTACACTATGTAGTTTTTAATTTAAATTGTTTATTTTTAACAAACTCAACTGATATCGAACACTGTCAGCTCGACGCTTCTCTTAATCACTCGTTGTTGTTTTTTTTTTATGTATTTTTATGTTCGTCATCTATCATGGTTGTTTTCTTTTGCATGTTACTATCACTGGCTCACGACCATCCGCTTGTGTTCGTTACCCTCACATTAGATCGGCGACGTCGCCCGGCAGCGCAATGTCGCCCGTATCCGACCCGCAAGTGGCCGACTCGAACGCTAACACTACTGACGACTACACTCGCACCATGAGCCCCGTCTCCCAAGACACTTACTACAGGGACGGGGATAATACGTCGCGCTCCTACGCCGACGATAACACGAGGTCTTACCGCGAAGACGACCCCAACTCCCGTCCATATATCGACGATCAAAGGTCCTACAGAGACGATGATCCCACGCGGCCATACAACAACAACACACTGAAACTCGACAACGAGTCACTCATGATGTCTCAGCAAGTCATACCCACCGACGAATTCAATGACGAACATCCTGGCTCTGTCTACAACGAGCAGGATCAGAACGCTACACCGAACAGAACAGCTAACTCACAATACAAAGATAATTACGAGACTACCTTCGACCTTGACGGGAACGTGGAAACTAAGAGCATTTGCAGCGCCAAGAGTGGTGGCTCCGGACACGAGAACAGGTATTCATTTTGCACTTATTCTTCTTTGTACAAATTCGATATTGTTTATTTATGTGTCGTTGTGATTCTGTGTTTCACATACATCACTAACACCAGATTTTTAATTTTTATGTTATGACTACGCAGTTGTTTTGGTAGTGGATGCATTATAGTATAGACCATGTGTCTGGTGTAATTTTGTAATTATACACCAGAGACATCTTTTATGCAACGTACCTTTTAATTATTTAAATCTGATAACCTGTAATTAGAATATCATACAGAAAATCGCAGGTTCGAGACTTATTTACACGAGTTAGTTATTATGTTTTAAAAACAACTATGGCAAGAAGGGAAAATACAGTGGCACCATTCCTCTTCTTTATTGTAATGCCTTGCATTTAGGCTTTATCACAATGCCGTCATTGTCAAGTGGTTAACCTTTACACGTATGAGAATGACACTTGAAAAACTGACCACTCCCTCGGATCGCACTTGTGCCGGCCGTAGTACCGTCCATCTCATGAAATATGAAGAATACTTCAGATTTACCCCTCATATCAAATAAAAAACCTTGTTATTTTCTAATTACACAACACATTTTTAACATGTGCGTACTTATAGAAAAAACGATTTAATGATAAAAGTTACTGAAAAGAAATCAAGGAGTTTTATCGCTTTCGGTCCGCTAAAGATTATATTTAAACTTCAGTATTTTAGAATACTCATAAAAGCAATGTTCATGGCAGTATCTGCAGTCGTTAGCAAACATCATCATCAACAGCCTCTCTTAGTCCACTGCTGGACATAGGCCTCTCGAATTGCACACACTGGTTGTTGATTGAATTGCGTAAGGCTGGCAGGAGTTGGATTCGAGTAGCCCAAGATCGACCTCAGTGGCGTGCAATTGGAGAGTCGTTAGCAATAAATATATTGAATTGAACTACAAAACCTCACTAGGATTACGTGTTATTGTTCGCTTGGAGGGTTTGTGTCCTAGCCGTGAGAACAATTAACCACTTATCCAAATCATCCAAAATATAACGAGGACCTTCGATTTTTGCCCAACTTTGTACTTTGATCCAAATTATTTCAAAAAGACACTGATCAAATTTCAATAAATTCAATAAAAATTGCTGAATATCTGTATTAAATAGGGAATATGCGTATAAAGAAACGTTATTACTTGACGCAATTTGTCATTGACTGATGGATGTATTAGCTGTCTAATACTATATTGGTTTAAATTCATTTCCTTGATTATGATTGGTTGTAGCAAAAATCAAGTGATTTCCTTAGCTAATTTAAAAAATAAAAGATGCACATTTACCATAATAAATTATCTGTGTGGCAAAAAATTTAAATGTTCATACGACAATTTTATGTAGTACAAGTGGATAATAAAGTTCATTTATATTTTTTGATGAGTTCACCGTATTTTCCTACACATAAAAGCAATCTTGAGGAACAAAATTGGGCAGAGTTGTATGAAAAAAAGAATGGATCCTTTAGACTTGGTTTAACCCTAATGCTGTCTCTGTTTTCTTGTAGCAATCAAAGGTGACCGCTTTATTTTACACCGGGCTTATTCAACATTCTTAAGTTGGCACAGAGCACCCCCAGTAGCGTCATCATCTCAAAATTTTTATTTGAAATTGCCAAAGTTGGCAAGCGGGAAGAGTAAGCCGCGCTTTGACTGGATACTTTACTGTACCGTTAAGGTCGCATGACAAATAAGGTGCAAACTTGTATCGTGACGTTTTGGGGTGTGTCACACACTTATGCATTATTACCTACTACATGAGCTTGGCACAAGCGAGTGCCCTTGTAGCAGTTTCTAGTGGGGATGTTCTGTGTAAGATGGTAAGAAACTGTATGATGTTTCTAAGGTTATTGGTAATACGCGGCTTGTGATTATAGAATGAGCGCCACTGTGCCGACGGCGCGGCCCGGTCAGGAGGCCATCTTGCCGGCTGTGCTGGAGTTCCCCGAGCAGGGGCAGGCGCAGTTCCTGGCAGCCGTCATCACCCGCCTCGACCCGCACGCGCCCGCCTTCAAGCTGGCGCCCGTCTACACCTTGTACCTGTGTGCCAGGTATGTGTCCAATTCCTTACTTAATAGGGTTCATATTCGGATGAATTTATCAGATTTTGGTAACGTGGCGTGTTTTTAGCTGTCCTATAATTGATTTTATTAATTAATATTGTAAATATTGCGTTGCGTGCTTGCAAAGTCTAAAGTATTTACGCATTCTTTATTTTTAAGCAAAAGTATAGTGTATATTTGTCGAAAATAAAAAAAGCACACGTTATTATAAAATATGATCCTGGTACATCTGGCATAAATACTCGTATATGGTTTCATATAAACATGCCACAAAAGGAAAAATATTACGGATGAATAGTCTAGTGGGTTGGGTGAATACTTCAATAAATAAACATATTTCGTTGCTTTGTTTTGTGAAAATATTTTTAATCGTCAGTATTATTTAGCGGCTTTAAGTTTGATTAATATTTGTCGGATTCTGACCTGGTTACGATGTATATTCAAATGAATGCTTACTGAGGCGAAGTCAGCCCAGCAGATAATTGAAATATAAATTACCAGACTCGAAAAACAAACTTTATAAATTGAAATTGACTCGATATTTTCCGTAATAGCGTTGAAAGCAGAGTTTTGTATTATTTCACCAAATTTGAGACGCTATTAACCCTTAAATGTTATATTGTAGCTTTCATTTCAGCTTCAGTGATTTTGTTTTGATAGCCAATCTTAATGCGGGAAGTTTACGCTAAAGTTTGTGTAAACCCAGTTTAATGTAGAGAGTAAACATGTAATTAATACCTTTTTTATTATAATGTTGAGCATATTAATAGAAATGAAGTTAAATAGTTTTAAAACAGACTATAGTTATAGTCCACATAAATCTATATTAAGTACTTAAGTTGTTTCTAATTAACACTTATAAAAATGTGTAATATATGACTATCGCTGTATAATTGGGATGAATATCTTAAAAGAATATGGCAGATGATTATTTCGATATTGACTAATGACAATGATAGTAATCCCGACTGAAGGAAAATTAATTATCTCGTCGTCGTTCGATCAATGTCATTTTTCTCGGGTTCTGATTGTTTCTTATGCCTTAGAAATAAATCTTGCTAAATGACTAGTAGCTTTCTGTATACGGCCTGTATTTGTGACTATGCCCTGTCGTTTCACCCGCGTTAATATGAGGGAAACGTTATAGTTAGTGAGTAATAAGATTGACATAATGCTGTCGCGGACTTTTATATAGAACTTATAAAGGGGAACTATTCTGCCATACTTATTTTTTGCGTAACTTTAACCGTATAGATTGCTGGCAAGGCAGTTCTGATACCTAATATTATTCCCATTTATGCAAAATTTTTCATTGATTCCCCTATATTGGTCGTAGCGTCATATTATATAGCCTTCCTCGATAAGTGGATTTTCTATAAAAAAAACTAATTATTTAAATCGGAGCAGTAGTTTTTGTAACACTATCGCGTTCAAACCAACAAACAAACTCTACAGCTTTATAATATTAGCGATTTTTCATTATATTGTCATTTTAAGCATTAAGTTGATAGATTTAGAAATCTGAACATTTCTTTTTCTGATTTTAATTTTATTTATATAATAAATCTAAAGAAAAGTTTACTAGAAAAAAAATCTATGCGGACCAGGCAGCAGACGGGACCTGGTCCGCGTGGATTTTTTTCTACTAGATTTCTAAATCTAGCAACTTAAAATAACAATATAATGAAAAAAAGCTAATATTTCTTTAGATTTAAACATTTAGCAGTTAAATGCTTATAAAATAAAAACAGTACTATATTTATATTAGTTTGTGTTATAATTATAATTCAGTTTTAAAATAAGTGTGTTGTCCTTGCTAAAGATATCGAGCTTCCACGCACTACCGGCCCGAGTTAACCCCTACGGAGCGGGCCCATAAGCTCACCGCGTTCCTACATCACGTCGCTACCCTCATTCACGAAACTGTGCAGGTAAATACATTTTCTTTACAGAAACACTGGAAAGTAAGTTTGGACTATTCGCTTGCTACAGTGATATATTAGATTTAAGTACGTCCCTAAAGATTACCTTTTCCATTGATAACAAAATGAGTAATTATAAGTTGTGACTACTGTGTGTTGTTAAAATTGAGAGTTTATTATTTTAATATACACTCCTGGCGCATCTATCGGCCTATCTATCATTTTAAGTTTTGACCTTCCCTAGCTTAAAACAATATGCATTTTAAGGCTGATTTATTTTTTTATTTTGACGATAATATAGAGTAATTAATGTATTTTATTTTAGGCTGATTTATGAACCATATTTTTCGTGTGTTTTAGAAAATATATTTTTATTGCTCAACTAACATAATAATATTTTTGTTACTGACCATTGCAACTCAACACGAAGTTGGTCGATAGATGTGGGTGGAAGTATATTGTATTCTCTAGCAAAATCCTTAAGTTAACTAAAAATCAATGTCTGACAACATTACAATGGAAAATGTTTCTCATTTTAGCAAAGATGCAACGACTCCGCTGCTCAAGCATTTTGGATGGCAAATGCCAGTGAATTATTACATTTCCTCAAGTGTGACCGGCACATATCATCTTTCTCCACCCAAGCACAGGATTTGTTACCGACGACCGTGCAAAATGCCTTCAGGTAAGTCGATATTAGATAGTCACCGCATTATTTTTAATTAATAACGAATAGAGCACTTGGAATTTGTAACGTCCTTTTTTAACTATAAGATGACACGTACAGGATTGGAAAAATATTTTAAAACTTAATGTGATTTTGCCATCTTGCAAATATTATTTATGTATGAATAATAATTTTAGTTTCACTGCTGTGGTTCTTTGTAGGGCGCAAATTCGCCACATATTTATAAAAAAAAAGTACTCTCACGTTATGGAGTAAACTTGCACAAAGACGCGAACTATTTCAACAACCTCGTGTCGTGCCTACTCTGTAGATAGACGACAGAAATATTTTATGTATACTCGCGGACCGTTTCAGCAATCTCGTGTCGTGCTTCCAAGAAGAACTATTAATAAATAATAAAATAAATAAAAATAAAATAATATGCTTTTATTTTAAGACATGGTCTCATATATTTTAGTAGCAATTTTCTTAACCTATGTTAGTGTTTCATTACAATTTCAATCACTATTGCCGGCGCTGGCCACTCTAACTAACCCTGCGATAGTGGACGCTACGGCAGTGACTGTTATGGCTCAATTACAATTGGTCGTTAGCCCCCTTTAGGGAGAACGAAATACATTTCTCGAATTTGGGCACCTGAAGCAATATTTACATACGAAATACAGACTAGAAGACGGTGTCGGGTAAACAAAACGAAAACTACCCGAATACGGGTGTACTCGACTCCATTCATTTACACTTAAGAGCCCTTTTACAAAATTGCGCTGCTGCCATACTGATCGGCGCGTACGTAGATTTGCACTAGTATATATTGCATTTTACAGGTGATGTTTCGAGTCTTTTTAAATAATTATTAATGAACTTATTATAAAAATATATACATATTTCAGTAGTTCAATGATGGTAGATTAGTTTTATGAAAGTTTTTGATAGTAATTCTATTTAATTCAATATCAAAATACGAGGTAAACTTGCATTATTTTTTGGGAAAACTCACGGAGGTTAGATGCTTTTTGACAATTAATGAGATGGAAAATCAAAATTCTAATACATTATGTTACAACCAAATATATTTCTGTTGTCTTAGTAATTAATTTGATCTAATTTATTGAACATTATTGAGAGATTGAGGCGTTTGAAGTTGTGCATATTATCGTTTTTTCCGTAAACTAGCTGCAGTAGAACGATCAGTACAAAAAAAGGAAAATAGTATTTGCAAATATTCTACATTAACTTACAATAGGAAAAATAAATCTACTGTTTACTTCTCTTGGAAATAGTCAGGGGGTAAACGAGGCGCTTATACGATAATACGATTTTTTGCAAAATATGTGAAAGGGCTCTAAAAGTTGACGTCACACAGAAGACATCATCGAACCGAGCGTTTTGGCGGTAACTTCAAAACCATTAAAAATAAATTCAACTTTAATTGGTTTAATGGAGAAAAAAAGACTATTATAATTAATTGATTTATTTTTATTTTTCTGTTAAATCGTTGGTTCCAATCTTTACATATAAGCAGTTTTCAAAAATTTGGAAAATACCCTATTCCATTAGTACTCGTATTCGGGTTTACGACCAAACGTTATCTCGCCAATAGAAACATATATATTTATACTCACGTACTATTTCAGCAACCTCGTGTCGTGCTTTCAAGAGGAACTGTCTCGGGCGCTGGCAACGCTAACTAATCCGGCGATAGTGGACGCTACGGAAGCGACTGCGCCTACTCTGCAAACGTTGGCTGCTGCAATGGTGTTATTGCGGCGGTGCCGCGTCAACGCAGCGCTTACTATACAGCTGTTCTCCCATCTCTTCCACTACATCAACGCGGTGTGCTTCAATAAGGTCGGTCGATTAATGATTTCAAACAAGAACATGTCGCTTTAGGCCTCCCCCGCCCCATAGGTGCGTTATTATCGATTGATAATATCCCACAACGCAATCGTCTGTGAACGACAACAGTACCCCTAGCACGAATCATTATCGAATTCGAATAGTTTGCGAGTGCGAAATGTCAATGTCAAATTTTGTATTTAAACTTGAACAGCAGCGCCACAAAGTACGTAACGAGAACTAAAAATCAGTGCACATTTGACAATGACATTTGGGACTCGCAAATGTTACGAATTCGATATTGGTTCGTGCTAATGATTTTCTTTCGACCAAATCTGTCATCCGACCTTTACGTCACTCTAATGTCTCCAATCAATAATGGCTTACATGGCATGGCATGCAGAGAGGTCGCATGCTTCAACTTTGAAGATTTCGATTTCAAACGAAAATTGAGTAATGTGAACTTTACTGGACGTGTGAAGTTTATAGTGAAGTTTTGTTCGCAGTTGGTGACGGAACCGGGAACAATAAGCGCTCGATGGGGCGCGGCTTTATCGGCAAGATTCGCCTTATTGGCCGCTTGGGCGGAACGGCAGGGGCTCGAGATAGCAGCAGATTGCCATCTCGCACGCACGCACCAGGCCGGTAAGCATTCCATACCACACCACATGTTATTCATATTATTTTAGAATCTGAATCTTCGATCAACAATTCTATAGATAACTGGTTACATACAAAATTAAAGCTAAAAACTGTCCGCGTATTTTTAAACTTATGCAGCTACATTCGATTCCCAATGATAAAAGATAAATGTTTTAAAACAGTTTATGTTAAACCTAATAACCACTGTCTCACATTCTATGAGATTGTATAGAAATGCCTGGCGCGACTATAATATCACCATGTTTCTTTCACTCGTTTGGGTGGCGCCTTGCAGGGTGACTTTTTAGGAAATTTTTTTCACTAAGTGAAAAAGGATGATGAAGCAGAGAGGATGTAGGATTATTTCAATGATATTTTTTTATTCTAAGTGTTATGCATTTCTCCCCAGCTCGCCTAATACAAGGCGAATATCGCACTGCGGACGAAGCTCGCGCGGCGCTATCCGCTTGCTTTAAACTGAACTCGGTGCAAGTGAGGGCATTGCTGGCCCCGCTAGCCTCACCGGAAGTATTGGAGGCAGCCGTGAACCACGCAAGGGCCTTGTCTGATGAGTTGCATCGCTCCGACGGACGCGAGGTATGTTGGTTATTGAGCTCACCTAATAGAAGGCGAGTATTTATGCCTGCTTCGTGCTGAACTCGGTGCAAGTGAGGGCATTGCTGGCCCCGCTAGCTTCAACGGAAGTATTGGAGGCGGCCGTGAACCACGCAAGGGCCATGTCTGATGAGTTGCATCGCTCCGACGGATGAGAGTTATGTTGGTTATTGAGCTCGCTAATAGAAGGCGAGTATATGCATGCTATGTGATAAAATCGGTGCCAGAGGTATGACCCATTACTATTATGAGCAGTAACTTTTTAATGAAAAAGTTTTGTGAAAGTCTAAAGTTTATTAAAAACTAGTGGGCAGCCCTCGCTTCGCTTCGGTGTAGAGCTGTAGTGTAGGAAGACTATAGTTTTTGTTCTCAGGCTTGAAATATACACAATGAATTTCTGTATATATGAATAAACCTTCCATGAACATTTATTAAACTGATAGTGAAAATTTTGTTGCCTACTTTAGGACCCGTTGTACCGAATGCACCATTTTTTTGGTTGAACGCGCAAATCTCAGGAACTAATGATCCGATTTGAAAAAAACTTTTTGTGTTAGATAGTACATTTATCGAGGAAGGTTTAAGGCTATATAACAAGACGCTGCGGCCAGTAGTAGCGGATTATCGATGTAAAATGTTGCAAAACAGTTAAAAATATACCATTTCTGAGCTTGCGTTGCGTGTGCTGCGTAAATGATTAAAGTTACATAAAAATCATGTATGGCGGAATTGTTCCCCTTTAAACGTGGGGACCTTTAGTTGTACCCACGGAGCACCCCCACTAGAGTCCGCATACAAGGGCAAGCGCTTACGCCAAGCTTAAGTAGTATTTTACCTATGCGTGAGGCACGCCTACAGACGTCGCGATACATCGTTTCATTCGGTAACCGAGCGTTGTTCGAACTGCTTCTCTCGCGTTCGTGTTAAAAAACTGTAAAAAATGCCGTACTGTGCAATTAATTGTGTGGAAAGTCGAGAACAACTTCCAGTCTTCAAAAAAATGGTATTACTTTTCACTGGTTAGTTTAAATGCATTACAAAAAGACAAAAATACTGTAATATTAAATTGCTGTTAATTGTATTTATTTTTTGGTGAACGCGTTGATGTCTTTTTACACTATCCCTTTCTCGCATGGGCTACATCATATATGCTATCTCGCTCTCACACCGGCACGTGTATTGCTAGTGACTCAGACGCAGCTCATGTCTCAACGCGTAAGTTTATCGATAAGTTTGTCAGCTATGGAAATGGAAAAAATAAATAAAAACTATTTATTTCATCGTATACAATAATAGAAACAATTATCACGTATTGTTCTCTTATTGCTCATTGATGCCGGTTCAGGAGAAATTTAAATATAACATCTTAACAGAACAATTCTTCAATACTGATATTCAAAAGGTTTCATCTCATAGTAAGTTAACTCGAGGCGTTGCAAATAATAAATTATTAATTCCAAAATCAAATAACCTATATGGGCAACGAACATTACAATTCATTGTTCCAAATTTAGTAAATAAGTTACCATTTGAAATAAAAAACGCACTAAATAAAGGAAACATAAAACGCACATTAAAAAGTCACTTTATCAATAAATTAAAAATAATTCATTTAAAATAACCGTTACAACGAACCTAAAATAAAAACATTAAAAAAAGTCATATTTATCATTACAATTGGAGCATCCTTTATCTACGATAACTGCATTTCGACTTGTATGCTTAGCTAGTTAAAAAAAAACTTACCCAACTGGTATAGGTTCGTGCGAGTGCAAATTAATTGTCATGCCAATGTTTGTTATTTTCAACATACCCACTTATTTTATAAAATATTGTTATGTAATGATAGTTACTACAGTGTGACAACCTATATTTATTTATTGTAACTAGATGTACAGCGGTGAATGTAGTGCACGAATAAACCTTTCTGGTTTTTGTTTGCACTATAATATGTATTATAATTGTAATATTGCTTGATTAAATAAATTAAATAAAAAAAATAAAAAAAAATGTCATAAGTATACAACCAACAGTTTTTATTTGACTTCAAACATATCCTAATAAAATTGAAAAAACGCGAAAATTGGTATGCATATTTGTTACTCTTTCACGCTAAAACGATTAAACGGATTTGTATTAAATTAAGTGCGCATAGTTTATGACCTAGATTAAGACATAGAATTAACGATATTAAATACCCTAGGTACACCACGAGCGCTCAAAATGTGTCCCAATCAAGAAGTGCTTGAACTCCACACAAGCACTTCTTAGTACACAGTCACACGCGGACCGTTGAAAAGTCAAGATGCCAAAGAGTTCCGTGAAAAAATGCAGAAAAATACTAATAGTACGTAAAGTGTCGTTTTTTCGACGGGTATCTAATTAATGTTTTTTAATAAACGCCTTTAAAGCAAATTTTATTGTTGTAATACTTACTATAAACTGATTTAATTTAAAATATTTGTGATATTCAAATGCATGGTCGGTTATACGTCGCCCTTAGCCATCTCTTTTCTTCGCGGTCTGTACCTGCTATATTGCTAACAGCGCATTCAGAATTGCGCGTGAAAAGTAAAAAAAAATAAGGTCTATATTCTTTCACATATAACAATAAATCGTAAAATTTTACGAACTTGACGCATGCATTTTAATTAAGACCTTATGCCGTATGCATTAAAGGTGACTTTCAATGTTTAAATAAGGCATTATATTGTTTTTGACCACGCGATCATCTTACGGACCTCCGTGGATCGTCCAATGTACCTTTTGGACACGTTTCGGCCACGATTTTGTTCGTGTTGTTGTATCTAGGGCAGTTAATATCGTTGCATTAATACTACTTGTCCTGGACGTGTTTTTTTGTGTCGCTTATATATAATTTAGTATGTAGTTACTAGTCGCGTCATGTAATTAGAACGCTGGAAGAAAGTGGAGAGGGTATGATTACGCATTTGCGCACCAAAGTACTAGGCCTCTATTCTAAATTGTTTATCGATAGAAAATATCGATATTTTCTAAAATCGATCTTACCCTCATCACTTCGCTGCACTGAGTATATGATCTGACCTTGACGCGTCCAATCACAGCGGGGCTGACCTCCCTGCACCCCACCGACTTTGGCGATTTTGATTCCAAACAAAATTTGTGTGATGCGGACTCTAGTGGGGGTGCTCCATGGTTGTACCATAACTGTAACAGTTAGACATATGGTATCGCGGACCTTTGTGTAGATATTGATCACTCTATAAAACTTTAGTACATCACTTTGCTCTACTTTCAATGAATTCCGCAGCGTAAGCAATATAAGGTTTTATTTGGTATTTTTTTTTCACACCCTGTGTTACCTAATCGAAGTTATCATGCGGAATCCTAACTATTTTTAAAATTCTCTATAGCCTATGTTCATGAGGGATAATGTAGGATTCTAAACGTAAAAGAATTTTTCAAATCGACTCGGTAGTTTCGGAGCCTATTCAATAGAAACTAAAATATCTTGCCTCTTTATAATATTAGTAACGATCAAAGTACATATTTTCATAATTTTCAAAAATGTGTTGTAAAATGTTAATGCTGAACACATATTTTGATAGGAATTTTCGTAGCAACTGCGAATGTATAATAATTACTGTTTTCACAAGAAAATAACCAGCATATCTATGGCCATAAAGCACACCCAAGATACAGTATATAATTAAACTGCAGTGTGTATGTTTGTGTGGTGTCTGTGCGTTTACGCAGCGCACGCAACGGAAGGTCACAAACGTAATATTTTTTCCCATTTTTGCAACATTTTTCATTGGTGCTCCGCTCCTATTAGTCGTAGCGTTATGTTATTTAGATTATAGCCTTCCTCGATATATGCACTATCCAACAAAAAAAAAATTTGTCAAATCCGACCAGCAGTTCCTGGGATTGGCGCGTTATACCAAACAAACAAACTCTTCATCTTTATAATTATTTTCATCTTTATACTAATTTTCATTAGTAAAGATACTATGGTGTTTTATAGTTACAATATACGTCATTGTATAGATAACGAATTAATAGTAATTGTTGCCTACAGATCCGGTTGGAAGAAAGTGTTTGGCTAGGCACCGGCCTTCTGATCCCCGGCGACGGATTCAGCGCGGAAGTAGTACGCGGTGTACCGCCCGGTCTAGCAGAATTCGTGGCGCCCCTACAAAGGGGTGGATTGTGCCGTCTAGCGCACCAACCCCACGCAGTAGGGGCGTGGACCGTTTATATGGGGCACGCCCCGACTCGACCCCACGACCCCCATCCCCGCGTCACTATAGTGCAGCTCAACAAGAACTCCAGCGGCATGGGGCTGAGCATCGTGGCTGCGAAGGTAACTATATGTACACCATAATATGCATACCCATGCAGTAGGGGCGTGGACCATTTATATGGGGCACGCCCCGACTCGACCCCACGACCCCCATCCCCGCGTTACTATAGTGCAGCTCAACAAGAACTTCAGCGGCATGGGGCTGAGCATCGTGGCTGCGAAAGTAACTATATGTAGACTATAATATGCATACCCACGCAGTAGAGGCGTGGAAAGTCTACGAGTATATGCGACTTGGCCCTACGATCCCCATCCCGCGTCACAATAGTACTGCTCGTCAAAACTCCAGCGGCATGGAGGTAGGGTTGCCAACACTACTATATAATATAGTATCCTAGTTGCCAGTAAAAGCGTTCTTAGAAATAAAATTAGTAATTATTAAGGCATGGAAGAGAAAAAAATATATTTATTTTAAAAATAAAGTACACATTTTAACCGCATACTATATTTTTTCCATCTTTTTGCCATCTACTATATTTTTAGAGGAAACAGCTTTCCTACTAAAGAATACTATACTTGATAGAAAAAAAGTTGGTCCAATTGAAAAATAATGCCCTTCCAGTGTTAATTTTCACTTTTTTTAAGATGCGCAGATAATAATTTCAGGATGATAAAGACCTTAAAAACTAAATAATTCCACACAGGGTTACGGACAGAACAAGCTGGGTATATACATCAAGTCCGTAGTAGCGGGAGGCGCAGCGGCCGCAGACGGACGGTTGGCGGCCGGCGATCAGCTGCTCTCTGTAGACGGCCAGTCGCTCGTCGGTATCACACAGGAAAAGGTAACGTAAATCTTATATATAAAATTCTCGTGTCACAATGTTAGTTACCTAACTCCTCCGAAACGGCTTGACCGATTTTTATGAAATTTTATATGCATATTCCATGGGTCTGAGAATCGGCTACTATCTATTTTTCATATCCTTAAGTGATAAGGGTCCACCCTGTAACGTAGTGTTCTGAAACCTACAATGCGCCTTCGCGCCAAAATTCAAAGTATTGGGTATTGTAACGTAGTGTTCCCATATGGGTTAGGAGAAATGTTATCCCAGGAAATTGATAGAACACTACGTTACACACCCCTATTTTTTTTTTATTATGTTGTATTAAAAAAATACATGCTACTCTAAATTTTCACTCTTCTACCACCTGCCCCTATTTTTATGGCGGTACGAAGTTCGCTGGGTCAGCTAGTACTATGTAAAAATCGAAAATATGAATGTCCTATTTCTAACCTTCTAGCCCCTAAGTAAGCATTGCACGGCTTGTGTGATAAAGAAACCGGTCCACTGACCCATTTCTGTAATTAGAGTAGAGCAGCTATACTCTAAGTGTGTTCCGCGGAACCCTAGGGTTCCGTGATACCTCTGTCGGGGTTCCGCAAGAATTTAGAAATAAAAAAATCAAAACACCTCTCTCTGGTCGCTCCGCGGCTGTGCGGACTCCGCGGCCGCGCGGAGACAAAACGCTATGAATGTTATTTATTTATTTATTTGTATTTGTATAAGCTTGTGTTACATTAGCTGGTACAATATCTCATAAGTTTGGTCTCAACAATTTTATACTTGTACAACGCGTTCGCTCTAAGTTTGCCGGTCTGTGGAATGCGCGTACCCTCCCCCACGTGACAACAAAACTTATAATGTGTCATAGTTTTACCCAAATATCTAACGTACACAATTTTTATTGTTACAATTAAATAAAAAATTTCGAACGTCATACACTCATACCTATCGCCAGCGGCAAACTTAAAACGAGCGGGTAGTATACTTGTAAGCGCTCAGTCTCTTTGATAAAAGCCGCCTCTGAATTAGACGCTATAGTTGTCAACTAGCGACTTTCGTCTCTAACTTCAAAGGATAAAGTCGATATTGTTTACAACGCTATTTTTAAATTTCTGTTTTTATTTTTGCTTTTTGTTTATCAAAGGTGCCGACTCGAGTATTTTCGAGAATATTTGAGATCGAGTCTAGGACTAAGTATAAAAGCGGCGATCGCGCGTTGGCGTCGTCAGTTGATGATTAGCGTTCGGAGCGATAAGTTACTACCTACTTACAAGCTCGCTAGCGAGAAACTGGTGTTCATTGTTTTACTGCCTGCTGTATTCTGTTGTCTCAGTTTTATACATTTCTTCCCTGTAGGTTCTAAATTTAGTCTCTTATACGCAGTAACGATTGTGCATTATTTAAACCCCACTATCCTGACTTGTAACATTATAAATAAAGAAGAATGGAACGTTGGCTTAAAGGTGTTAAACGTGTTCCAACAACATCTTCTAATGACGCTGAATGTTCAAAAGCAATGCGCGCGGAGAATTTAGCAATCACCGATCCAGAAGATGATGCCACGAGTGCCACGACGTCAAGCTCGACGGTTTCAAAGACGAAAAAAAGGAAGTATGATGAATCTTATATCAGTTTCGGATTTGTTGATTCCAACGGCTCACCTCTCTGCATGCTCTGTAGTAAACTGCTTCCTAATAGTTCCATGGCACCTGCCAAATTGCGTCGACATTTAGAAACCGTACACCCCGAGACTAAAGACAAGAATAAAGAATTTTTTGTTCGCAAAAAAGATCAGTTATTAGAAAGTCAAAAAAATATGATGCATGTAACACAAACTACCAACGAAAAGGCCACGGAGGCATCATACTTAGTTAGCTATCGCATTGCACAAGCAGGTGAAGCGCACACTATCGCTGAGAAATTAATAAAACCATGTGTATTAGACATAACAAAATGTATGCTTGATGAAAAATCTGCAAAGCATCTTTCTACTGTTCCGCTATCAAACGATACTGTTTCACGACGAATCCATGATCTGGCAAGCTACGTCAAACAAGAACTAGTTACACGTCTACAAAATACACGATTCGCTTTGCAAATGGACGAGTCGACTGATGTCGCTGGTTTGGCTATCCTGCTGGTTATTGTGAGATATCCATATAAAAGTTCTTTTGAAGAAGACATGCTTATGTGTTCATCGCTGCTTACAAACACTACCGGGGAAGAAATTTTTAATAAAATAAATATATTTTTTGAAGAACATAATCTCAGTTGGAACAATTGCATTGACATTTGTACAGATGGGGCCAAGGCGATGACAGGTAAAACAGCAGGAGCAGTGTCACGAATGAAAAATAAAGCGCCTAATTGTAGTTCCAGTCATTGTATTCTGCATAGACAAGCACTTGCGATGAAGCAAATGCCGTCTAATCTAAAATTAGTTATGGATGAAGCGGTAAAAATAATTAATTTTATCAAATCACGACCACTACAATCCCGATTGTTCTCATTATTGTGTGAAGATTATGGCAGCAAACATAAAACACTGCTGCTCCATACAGAAGTGCGATGGCTGTCTCGGGGAAAAACTTTAACAAGGCTATTTGAACTTAGAGCCGAGTTACAAATGTTTCTTTCAGCAGATACTTCTTTTAATTTGAAGGACCGTTTGTATGATAAAACTTGGTTGTTCCGATTGTCTTTTATGGCGGATATCTTTCAAAAACTTAACGAATTAAATTTATCATTGCAAGGTAAACAGACAACAGTGTTTCAGGCCTATAATAAAATAACTACTTTTAAAAGAAAATTAGATTTTTGGATCATTTGCATTGGTAAGAAAGAAATAGAAAGTTTTACGTTACTCACTGAGTTTGTTAGCGAAAACGACTCAGAAATGTTTGAAGATAATGTGTTTGAAGAATTGGTCCAATATCTCAGTTCGATGCGCGCATCTTTTGAAAAGTATTTTCCCGAAGAACACAATACAAAAATTAAAGTGAACTCCTGGATTCATAATCCTTTTTTACCCAACTTGGAAAAGCCTGAAAACATGTCAAATGAGATATATGAATCTCTTTTAGAAATGTCATCAGACACAAGTATGGAGTCATTGTTCAAAACGACGCCTCTTAATGATTTTTGGTGCAGAATCCAAGATGAATATGCAATGCTTGGCCAAATGGCTCTGGATATTCTTCTCCCGTTCCCAACTACATATTTGTGCGAAACAGGATTCTCTACCTACGCAGCCACGAAAACAAAATATCGCAATAGACTGGACGCCGAAGCTGATATGAGACTCCAACTTTCTTCCATCAAACCTGATATCAAGCAATTGATGAAAAATAAAAAACAGTTTCATACCTCCCACTAGTTAGATTTTTTCTTTTTTAATGTTTTCTATTATTGTCCTTACCAAGTGGTGAAGTAAATAATAATTAGTAACGGATACATTGTACTTTTATTATGCTGATTAATATAGAATACACTTATAAAAATAATTGTTTTATTGTAGGGTTCCATCAAGTATTTTGCTTCCCAAAAGGGTTCCGTCATTTAAAAAGTTTGAGAACCACTGGAGTAGAGCATATCCCTGGAAGTTAAAAACAAAAAGAAAATACACAACTTACTTAGTTTCTTATTGACATATTCTTATCAATACAATAAGTCTACCGGGTTACTTTAACAGAAATTCTGGGCATGTTTTTACCAAAAACGACTTTTTAAGTAAATAACTAATACCATGCCACCATTTTAATGCAATCGCCCAAGAAAAGCAAATGCAAGCTTAATGTATATGTAACTCGCGTCATTAAAGAAGGGAATTGAAAATGCCGACGCAATGCATTCTGTCTCTCTCACACTTTACTTAGGACAGCACGTGCGAGAGGGACATACGACGTCATTTGCGATTCCTTTTTTATTTAATGACACGATATTCTTATTATTATTCGATATTTACTTCATCTAGGCGGCCGAGTACCTAATGCGCACAGGTCCCATAGTCACATTGGAGGTGGCCAAGCAAGGTGCGGTACTACACGGCCTCGCAACGCTGCTCCACCAGCCCGCGTATTCGCAGAAACCAGGTATGATACTCTACGTTCATATAGTTTTTTCTTTTTGTCAAATACTTTTCCACATTTTTTTGGTATTATAATAGAAGGTTAGAATTTATTGTATTGTTTAAAGCTGTATGAAAGAAATAATAAAGATTACATTTAAAAGTTATGACAACATTTTTAAAAGGTTTGTAACTATTATTTGTTATAATTTGATTGTGAAAGTGTGATCAATCTAGTTCAGTGATTTTGAACCGATTAAGAACCACTGATTTAGTTCAAGGATATGTTGTTATAGGTAAGAAACTTTTGAAATGCACAGCACATACAAAGAAGATTTTTCTGTAACTCTCTCTGCAACAGGATAGTTTATTATGCCAGTTGAAAAAAACTAAAGTTAGTTTTAGCTGTTATTGGTTACATTTCTGCCAGGTACTAAAAATGTCACCAACGTTGGATATTAATTTTGTTATTTTTTGGTTGCTATGAAAAAAAAATGTTATTATATGGTAGCTTTTAAAAAACGCATAATGACTACTGGTTTAATTTCTACCAGGTACCTATTACTTGATAATTATGATGTCGTTAAAATAGATACTAAATTTAAACTTATGGATGGGTATACAGTAACATGAAAAAATATGTGTTTTGTTAGCGATATTGTGACATTAGTAGTATACGAGTCGAGTACACAATAACACGGGAAGTCTGTTTTATTTTCTTTTATTGCAAGACTAGTTGACCCCGCTTACTTCGTACGGATTTTAAATAATTTGGAGGAAATGACGGACCCGGGTCTACCGTACCAAACGGGACGAAAGTCAAATGTTCAAAGAAGATAGAACAGTTTATAGGGAAAAATTAAATTGACGTTTTTATTATCTTCCTTGCAATTTTTCCATATTTTCTCACCTTTTAAACCTGCCCTAGACCTCCATGAACATTTCAAGACCAAGATAAGATAAATCCGTTCAGCCGTTCTCAAGTTTTAGCGAGACTAACGATCAGCAATTGATTTTTATATATGTATATAGTTTAGTAGGATATGAGTAATATAGGAAGTGCGTTAGGTATAGAGGAGCTCCAGTACGAAGACCCGCTGCGCCGCAACTACGGCACTTACACCAACACCCATCCTGCGCTACTGCGGCCCGCGTCGCCGCGCACCGAGCTCGCCACCGCAGGCAAATATCTATACCATACCTTCCAGCTTCGTACCAACCTTTTTTTTGTGTCTGGGAAATGCCTAACGCATCGTTCAACCACTGGGGGAGCGAGAAGAAGGTATGTGGGACTCCTCCCTGCCCACTGCAGCCAGCTCTGAGGCTAGCTGAAGTGAACAGGGCCCTACCTACGCTCTGAACAGCCCTGAACCCGACACGCACTATAAGGACCGCGGTCCCCCTAGTGCGTGTGTGTGTGGTCGCGGCTCCCGTTTCCTACGTTACGTCTGAACCTACACGGGCTTTGAATGTTTAGTTGTTTTGCGTCCTCCGCGACAGCGCCCAGTCACAAGTTCCTTTTGTTTGCCACTGTGGTCGGTTTTATATTTTGTTAGACTTTAAAGGCGAGATTACTGAAACAGGTCTCGTTTCACAGGCTACGGTCGCCGGCCGTGCCACGATCGATGTCATCTCATCAGAGACGAATCCACCGAATCTAGTACGGACGAGAGCGAGGAGTGTCACACGCACTACCACGGTTCTATCCCGAGGCTCATTATCACTCTAGACAGGGAGAACGAGCAGCTGCAGGAGGACTTGTCGCCCGATACTCCGGGATGTCCGCTCGAGTTGAAAGGCGAACCACCGCCGCGACCCATCCCCGTATTCACTTTTACCTGCGAGGATTTCGACGAACAGAACCCTGGTAGCGATACCACCACTTATGACAGCCACGTGCCAGATGAGCCCCCAGTAGTGCCAGAGCCACCCGCCAACTACGACCAGTCCAGTGAATCTGGCGAGACCGTATACCTCCCGCCCGAAATGAAGCCCATAGACACTAAGCTCACACTAGATTTGTTCAATTCGCGTCCCAATGACAACGAATCGTACCGACGTCGGTGCACCGGCGTCAACGAATGTGTAAGTGCGTGCGATTGTTGCCGGACTCCGCAACCTGAGCCTCAGCCGATACCGTACATCGACGAGCCCAGCTTCGAGCCGGTCATATTCGAAAACGACACCCCCGACAGTAAAGTATCGACTCCGAAAATAAGAAGAATATTACCTTCTCTGTCTCTCGAATTACCCGAAGAAAAGAAGGAAACTGTCGATGCTACTAGCCAAACGCCCTGCTCTCCGTTAGAAGTAAATTGTATAGAGGTGTCGGTGCCGGTACCGGCTCCCAGAAAATTAGAATTAAGTTTAGATGTTGAGAGAGAATCGAAGAAAATAGATAATATGCATTGTAGACTAAGACGAGCTTTATTTAACATATCGAAATCATCTTCTACTAAGTCCGACGACACAGAAGGTCAGTCTACTTATTCCACGTCTGATTCTTATGATGAAACAATCAATGAGGGCTTCTGTTATCGGAAGAGCACACCTCATACTCCAATAGAAAAAGGTGCCACGCAGATATTAGATAGCATAGATAAAAAGTCGTGGAAATCTCCTGACGAGTACAGACCCTCCTTCGGCAAAGTTAAGGCGCTAACGAAACATTTTAATAATATTAATTTAACATACTGTATGAAAAACTATAAACGTAATTGCCAATCTAGTCCGAATTTGAGTGGGCGCAATGAAAAATCTGAAAAAATAGTTGAGAACGTTCATAATAGCGCTAGTTTAGCTGATATACGGTATGAATTGAACAAAACGGACACCAGCGAGGCTAAAGCAGAGAAAATGTCCGATGAAGAAGTGAAAAGTATTCTGATACAACTGGAGGACTGGTCTAAGTATGGGTCGCGCGGTAGTGAGGACACATTAGCTCAGGGCAACGAGTTTGAGCTGCCAAACCTACCTTCGGAAGACCACGACGCTAACGGGTGCTACATATTCAACGAGATAATAGATAAGAAACCGCGTATAATTACGTTAGATAATATAAAACTGAAGTCTAACCAGTCGAGTTTTTCTAAAGCAAGTAAAGACTCGTTGGTGAAGATTGTGAATATGGATGCGAAAGGGGGTCTTGTGGTGGGTTCTATACCGCCGTCAGCGGCGAATTCGCGAAGGGAGTCATATGCAGCCATAGTGCAGAGCTGTCCTGACGTCAGTGGTAGTGCGAGGGGGCGAAACGCCTGTGAGGCCGGCGCCTTCAACCACAGCTGCCCAATGCTGGCCCAGTGCTCGCGTAAGAACCTCACACGCATGAAATAGGTGTGTTATAGACCGCACACCCATCTCGATGTTAGTCCTATCTCCGGCATGCCGTATTGTGTTCTGTTGCAAACGTCACGCCTCAACATTGTCTATACTTGTCTCACTTTTTTTAAGAAATATTTATTTTGTCCTTGTTAGATGTAGGTACCTAGATGATGATAAAGTTATGTTTATTTTATCAGTTTTGACGCAATATTTTGGTGTTTTTATAGGAAAAATGTCTATAGCTGTCATGTGTTAGTAGATATGTTTTATTTACAGCAATATGATACTTTGCCTCTTTTCATTTGCAGATTTCTGTTACGTTTTGATTTCTTTGTTTTTACTTAGTAACAGCTCAGCATCGAAGATTCTTTAAGTCGTTGACCAAGGCTTTATTTTAAGTTTTTTCGCTCTTTATATTCTGAATATTGTTTTGTCATAGTTTTATTATAAGTAATAGTACTATTATTTTTTATTTTATATCACTTTATTAATAAACATCTCTTTAACGACGCTTTATTAATAAACGATGAAAAAGCTTGGATTAGTCCCTGTTCATTAACTTACAAATGACATTTGAGTAATATGAACAAAACAAGGCGTAACTAGTCTAAGCTTGTTCCTCGTTTAACCTCGTAATAAGGGATAAGTTTAACTTACTCCACTAGAAACGTTTCCTTTTAAGATGCTTAGATATTTAAATGTAGATACCCTCTGACTTTTTCCTTCAGATTACATAAAACATTACCTCGTAGCTTTGTAAATAGTACAATTTGATTTCTTATCTTTTTATATTTAATTTTACACTAAGGTTTCCCTAATTTCAATGTAAATACTTTACAGACATATTTTGATGGAACAGTCGGAAGAGCTTAACTGTTTATCATTGCCAATGAAACTATTATGCAGTGCAAGCAGTTATCGTTTCTAATGTAGTAAACAGCCAAAAATCTCCGGTTGTTCATCATTCAGCACTAAGCATTTCTAAAGCCCAAAAAGACGTCGCTTACGGAGCTGTCATAGTTCGTGCTTGGGCCTCTATATGAAATTATTCAGTATATATTAAGCAGTTAATAATAGCAAATTACTAATAGGGGCAGCGGGCGCAGTAGGGAATCCCGGGCCTGGTGGTCGGCGGCTTTCCGAGCGCGACTTGTCTCGTTTACCCGCTGAGCCGGTGAAGCCGAGCAAGAGCACTCCGGCACTGCACCACGCGCATCCAGCATCACAACATCCTCAGAGGTAAGAGATACTTTACCAACTAAACAACAAATCTGAACGCATAAAACTATACTTTATTGAAGTTGACTTATTAAAAGTTCTTTTCAATTAACGGGTAATTAAACGGGTTTACAAAATAACTTAATTTTATCAAATTTTCAAATTAATTTTTTTCGTTTGTTTTTAATATAATTCGCAATGCCATTGCAGGGCTCATGTTTGAGAGCTATAATTAAATTTAAGAACTAAATGTAACCAACATGAAGCAATAAATATTTTTTTTCGTTTGTTTTTAATATAATTTGCAATGCCATTGCAGGGCTCATGTTTGAGAGCTATAATTAAATTTAAGAACTAAATGTAACCAACATGAAGCAATAAATATTATGACAAGATTAGTTTATTGAAAATAAATTTTACACAGTAACTTTCGGTTTAGCCGGTCTCTGTTTTACAAAAGATATGTTAGCACTTTTATCTGGCCTAAATCTATGGTCGTTAGAGACAAAATTTCGATGTGTGGTTAGCTATAACATTGCCTTGTTTTGTCTCGAATAAATTATTTTTCTCTTTCCTGTCGCTATGCTTTGGCCAATTACCTAGGAAATGGTTGTGTAATGCTAACACTTCACATGGCTATTCGTATTTGCTATTTGTAATTATGACGGTAGACTTTCTCTCTTGTTTTCACTTTCTATAAAGCATGATAAGAATATACCGTTGCTAAATGTACATATATCAAAATTGGCTAAAAATAGTTGTGTGAAGTGCTAGAAAAGAGATATTATCAGTAGCAACGTTGCTTTGATGTTGCGAGAGCTGTGGGTAATATTGGGTATTGGCAATATTGGGTACAGCGGTCGGCACGGAAGTCTAGCGGCGAACGAAATGTGGTGGGGATATCTGCGTGCGCCAATCAGCTCGTACAGCTTATACGTCGCCCACCCAGCGCTGGCTATAGTGCGACAAGGATTTTTATGAATACGGCGTAACTTGGAACTAACGCTGCCGTCTTTGTAAACGTCATATTTTGTATGTCATTTACGTAGACAGTGGCGCCCTTTCTATACGCCACTCACATTTATAATGTTCTCTGGCGCACTGTTCCTCCCCCACAATTCCTAATTTTCGACTTCTGCGTAATAACGGTCATCGTTAGACTTCCGTGCCGACCTCTATAGTAAACATGTGCGTCGTTTATCCGGATACAGCGCTAATCTGAGCGGGGCGCAAGCGGGCCCCGGGTCACCGAGTGCGTGGGCCCACAAGTCTCGCAGCAGCCACAATCTGTCCGCGCCCCACGACACCTTCTACCAGAACCTGGCTGCCGTCCACCAGCATACGCTGCAGGACAGGTATAAATGTTTTGATGTACCTCCAACAGAACCGGGTGTCGATTCTGCTACGTTTAAGTAGTAATCGTGATCAATAGCGTTTCAATAGTTCGGATTTTTGACAAAGTTATTTTAACCAAAACAAAAATTACAAACACATCTACTGGTTATTATTGGTTTATTATTGTTATCCATATGTATTTTTTATTTTATGTTTTAGTGACACGAACTGTATCAAAAATTTATACCGTAGATTACTCACCACTATTGAGACACGATTTTAATTAGCGTAGCAGAGTCACTCCAGAGATTTTACTTCGTTCTTTTAGTGATAATAAAAGAACATTCTCTAGTAAAGCAGAATCTGACCTCGTAGCACGAAAAGAGATTGAGAGAGAGCAATTTTCTTATTATTACGTCCAGATAGATGTAATTATTTTATGAATACAACCAGTAAGAAAAAAAGTGCCCTTTATAATATGTCTGTAAATACCATACTTACCATTTCATGAATTTCTTAGATTATCACCTTTTTCATATATTTTTTTGATTAATTTATCGCTTTTTGGTAGTTCCTCATACCAATATCAGGTAGTGTGGAGTGATTTGCTTAAACATTAAGTATATATAAATGTAGATTAAAAAATCGCTGACACAATAATTTTTATCTGAAAAGTGGACATCGTTTGGCTGAATTAATACTCTTTTTTTTACCCAACTGCGCAATGCAAGAGGGCGAAGCGCGACGCGCAGACAGGGTATAGTGTTTAACAGTCTATATATGTATGTATGTTCCTTTGTGGCACACTAGAGACCAAACGCGTGGACCGATTATGATGATTCATACATCGATTCGTTTTAAATATTCGTAGATGGTCATCGCTGCGTAGCTCGACGGGCAGCAACCGACCGCAGTCGGCGCACTTCTCAGCCAACTCCGCCGCTGCCGATCAACAAACCCCCGAGGCACATATGCATCAACAGGTATGTTATTGTTGGGGCAGTTACAGAGGACCCTATCTTCAAATGAATCTTTTTATTTTTTAATTAGTTTATAACGTATATTTAACTCAAATACAAGAAATGTGCGTATGCGCAAAGACAGTTGGAAAGCGAATAAATTTAATATTGAATGGAGCGAGTGTAAAATGAACGTTCTTCACGCCGCTCGCCGCTAGATGGCTGCACCAGTCCTAAAAGTCTTGAACAGTTATTATTACAAATAAACAAAGTCAAATTGTTTAGTATACGCTTAGTATTTGTGGATCTGCGTGTGATAATTGGTTTCCCATACAAAATTTCATCCGCCATTTTACTCACTTTAAATTTATTTTCACGAAAAAATGTAGTCGATAACTGTCTTTAGGGTCTCAGCTAGATCAAAATTCAGTACAAACGATTCTGTGGATAATCGAGAAAGTGTAACTAACAAATTCTTTCACATTTATAATATTAGTAAGGATTATCTTATACCACCACAGTAAACAGCAATTAGATTATTTTTTAAACATCAATACAATCAGACTTTGACTTTGCATAACTGACAATCGTCCATCATTCAAATCAAATAAATTATATAAAATATACAAAATTCTAATTACATTTTGCGCTAAACAGATGTCGGCGCGATCAGCAAAACTAGCGGAGATGTCGGAAGAGGTGAATAGGCGTATGCAGCATCAACAGCAACAACAGCAACAGTTCCAGCAGTACCAGCAGAAGCCGCCAGCTATTCAGCCACAACAAATGCAACCAGTCATGCAGCCAGCACACAACCATCGACAGGTAATAATTTGATGGTGGGACACACACAACAAGAAGTAATGCTATGTGTTTGAGCGTACACTCCCATAGACAAAAGATTTCCAAAGATAGAATTATTATGTTGATGAATTACGCAACCAAGAAGTATTAGAGCCGTATTGGCAGGTTGTATTGTACTGGCCACCAAGGTATCCACAAGGCATGCAAATGTATGAAATGTTACATTTCTGTAGTGGTACGCACGCTGTTCATAGCAACATAATATGTAACACATATGTAACATGATATGTACAGCTTTTTCGATATAAAATGTACAAATAAGATAATTAAATTAACTATATGATTTGATTTAAAATTCAAAATTAACAAACATTTATTAGATACCTATCGAAAAAAGAACTATAAGTATTTAATTCGCTTTTTTTCACGGAGCTCTGCTGCATCTTGACTTTTCAACGATCCGCGCGTAGTCTATCGTTGGGTGAGAGTGTTGGAATTTATAGTCAGTTGTGTTTAGGGTTACCATCCGTACGGATTTGTCCGTACTTTTTGCCCTTTGACGGCTCTTTAATTTGTCCGGATATTTTTAATTAGATGGAATATAAGTCAAACTACTTATTAAGTTATATCAAATAAGTCAAGTAATCTTTATTAAGTTCTCATTAATTTAAAACAAAATATAAATCATCTTTAAAAATCAACAAAGTATAATATCACTGTAACTAAGTGGGTGATGTTTACATTTAACTAAAATGTCTGGACATTTATCGAAATGTCCGGCTTTTTGTCAGGAGTTTTCAAATTTTTAAATATAAACCCTAGTTGTGTTATTTTGAGTATAATAGCTCGTCTTACAGGTCGCCAGCCCGCCCATGGCGCCGGGCTACGCGGGCCCGCCGCACCCGCACCCTCACCCGCCGCTGTCGCCGCCGCCCGCCCACGCCGCCCTCTACCACAACCCGCAGCAGCACCCGCCGCAGAGGTAACATCGATATACAATAATTGGTCGTACAGGTCACCAGCCCGCCCATGGCGCCGGGCTACGCGGGCCCGCCGCACCCGCACCCGCCTCCGCCCGCCCACGCCGCCCTCTACCACAACCCGCAGCAGCACCCGCTGCAGAGGTAACATCGATATACAATAGTTGGTCGTACAGGTCACCAGCCCGCCCATGGCGCCGAGCTACGCGGGCCTGCCGCACCCGCACCCGCCTCCGCCCGCCCACGCCGCCCTCTACCACAACCCGCAGCAGCACCCGCCGCAGAGGTAACATCGATATACAATAATTGGTCGTACAGGTCACCAGCCCGCCCATGGCGCCGGGCTACGCGGGCCCGCCGCACCCGCACCCGCCTCCGCCCGCCCACGCCGCCCTCTACCACAACCCGCAGCAGCACCCGCTGCAGAGGTAACATCGATATACAATAGTTGGTCGTACAGGTCACCAGCCCGCCCATGGCGCCGAGCTACGCGGGCCTGCCGCACCCGCACCCGCCTCCGCCCGCCCACGCCGCCCTCTACCACAACCCGCAGCAGCACCCGCCGCAGAGGTAACATCGATATACAATAGTTGGTCGTACAGGTCACGAGCCCGCTCATGGCGCCCCGGGCTACGCGGGCCCGCCGCACCCGCACCCGCCTGTGTCGCCCGCCCACCCGCACCTCGTAAAGCTATGCAAAACATACGAACAACATATTTAAAGTTGATTTCATCATTAAAATCACTTAAAATAAATGGCTCAAAAGCCATGATGCCAAGCCACAATAAAAAAATAATAATATATAGTCAATTGTGTTTTCCTTTATTAAGTTTTTAATTACAGATTTGGACAACCCTCCTCAATTGTTTAATAAATCTTTTTAGATTATTTAATTAACATTTCTGATAATGACATCTGTAGACGCTAAACATTTACTTCAACAAATATTTCACCATTATCCTTTAGGGTTGTATATATTTTTGTATGATGTATCATGAAAAAACAAAAAACAAAAATTTTGTCCAAAAAAAATAATTTAAAGATGGACCAACATTGGGCTTAACATTTAGGGGAATAAAAAATAGATGTTGTCCGATTGTCAGACCTACTGAATATGCATGTAAAAATTCACGAAAATCAGTAGAGCCGTTTCGGAGTAGTTCAATTACGCTCACCGTGACACGAGAATTTTATATATTAGATTAGATGTTATGACTTCCTGTTGGAGCGTAAACCGCTTCGTTACGTAGCGCGTTACGGCGCCAGTCTGCCTGAATTGCCTTCGCCGCGAAAGGAGATAGACTTTACAGCCCGCCCAGGAACCAGAGGGGTGTCCCCAGACCCACCAATCCCTTATCACCCTTGAATCCGATTCACCCTCCAGTCCCCTGTTGCACCCTCGAATCCTCTTTTCATCCTCGAATCCCCCTTTACACCTTCCAATCCCTTTTCCTACTAATCTCCTGTGCTCAAAATACGACAGTTTAAGTTATCACTTCGGTCATCCCGAGACGCACACTTTTTTTTGTTACTGGTAAGAAAGTCAATCAAGAAGAGTAGATATGGTAAATATTAATTGGATATTTTTATTGCACCTTGACATTTTTTGTATTTTGAAACAAATCCCTTAGCCTGATCCAATATCGAATACTCGATTTCAATACGCATCAAGTTTCAAGAAGTTTTGTATGAGAGATTTTTATTTCTCATTACGTCCGTTTTGGCGCTGTTCGGATTTCCATACAAAACTTCTTGACATTTGACGCATATTAAGATCGAATTCTATATTGATTCGTACTTAAGGATCCGCCAGTCGCCGCTGATAAATCTATTTTATAAAAAAAATACGTAATTGTTATCCATGTAAAGAGTTACAAATGATTACATAGGACATATCAAATCTACCTAATTTTATCTTCAAGACTTCTTCGCTCCCTTCTCTTTGCTTCGTCCAAAAGTGACCCCAATTGGAGTGATATGTTGATGATGATGTTTTATTCAGGTACGAATGGCACCAACCTGGACCGCCGTCCCCACACAGATCACAACCACCAGTAGCTCCCAAACCACAGGTAAATATAAAAAATATCAGCTTTTATAACTTTGTTACATAAACTGTGTTTGTTATATTCAGAGTAGTCTTCAAGGGTAATTTTTAAATTAAATTATGGAAAATATTTTACCTCTTCACCTCAATAAACGTAAAATGCCACGTCTATAATAAAAATAAGTTAATTGATTTCGATTAACCTAATGAGGAAAGACTTTTCAAAAGAGCCTAATTCGCATTTGTATTATTTTAAAACATGATAAGTCATTTAATTATCCACGTAATTTTAAAGTTTTCAGCTAATTTAAAACCTTTTCAAACTGTCTTATTTTGTCTTAATCTAAAATTTAAAAAGTGACATTCGCATCAAAACAACTTATTTTACTATTTGTTTAAGCTGCATCTGTTTGGATAGTATAATTTTTAGCAATTTCTGAAAAAATAATAAGCCCTTTTGAGAAGAGACTCCTGTATTGTAAAACGAGGCAATATTTATATGTTTGTTGTTCATATCGCAGAATGGAAGGCGACCCGAAAACGAAATAGAAGAACAGTTCCAACAACCACAACAAGCGCAGTCTGGAGCCACAGTTCAACCAGAAGACGGTATGATTTTTTACCTTTTATTGTAATAACACATCATTTCGTTTTTAGTATAACACATCATTTCGTTTGTAATAACACATCATTTCGTTTTTAGTTCTCATATTGACAAAATAAGGAAAATTCCTTTTTAATAAAAGAATTTTGACGTTTTCTGTGAAGACTTAAGGGCCAGTGGCACTAACATCCTAACTTTCAAATCTCCGTCTTTTTTAATTGTCTGAAGTTGAATAGACGTAATATCACGCATATGTATGACCTCTCTTTCAAAGTCTACTAAAGATCTTTTGTGTAAGTGAGCCTTGCACTTGATTAATTACTTGATTGAGCTTCGTATATTGGTATCGATTTTGGCATGATTCTCTTTTGAACTTAAAACTAAATTTAACATAAGTCTCTCCTTTTCATTCTGTATAAAAATTCTAAATTCAATATCGTTTATTCAGTCTAGGCTGTTACAAGCACTTGTGAATGTCGAAAAGCTACGCCATCGGTTCGTAAATCTACGGCGGGAGACCTTGATGACCTTATATGATACACTGATGTCAAATTTAAGTGTAGTTTTAGAAAATCATGTCAGAATTGACACCAATGTCTACTTTTGATAGATTTTGCAATTTACTTTGTACATCTTTGTTAGAGAGGGGGAAGAGATCTTTTGACTCACACAGCTAATCTTTTAAGATCGATATTTATATTGAAATTTGTGTATTTGTCTAGATTATGGAGCGCTACGTAGGGAATCGCTACTGATTTTTTAATTAATTACGAGGGTAACGTAGCAGGGCCAGAAAGATGGGTTTAGAACCGCCCAAACTGCCAGTTCAGTATACCCCACAGAAGGGGCAGTTCCATAGCTCAGCCCGCTAAATATTACTGTCTTTTTTATTTTGTACTGTGTATTGTTCTGGGAGATAGGCAGGAATTATTTCGCTTTTCACCGCTCATCTTCTGAGACCACTACTAATTTTAAAATCTATGATTGTTTTGTTTTATTTGTATATTTTTTATTGTATCCTAGAGCGTTACGTAGCCAGCGCCTTAGAGCCACCCGCAGTATCAGTATACCCCACGGGAGGGGCGAATTCCGGGGCGGGTGCCAGGGCTCAGCCTACACATAACCCCTGGCAGAGGGAGGAGAGGGAACGGCAAGCTGAAGCCAGGAGACAAGCTAATCGGGCCCGCAGGTAACTTAAAACCATCAACATCATGATTCTATATGAAATCGCGCTACGGTGGACCCGCGGTAATCCGATAAAAGTTTTGAAGGGCGATGTCGGATTATTGAATTTGTAGGATCACGGAGTACTGTCTAAGACAAACCTTTATAGTGCGGAATTTTTCTAATAAGAGTACTTTGTAATCCGACAAATTTCAAATCTGAAAATATATTTTATTTTATGTGCAAATCCACAGCGATAAGCGTGTTGGATTACTGGGGGCGCCGGATAAGACGGGGTCCGGATTACCGCGGGTCTACTGTATTCGAATAGGGGTTGATTGATGGTGTGTGATTGATATTAAATTTATTAATTAATATCAACGAATTAGAAATAATATGAAGTACGAACTGCGCTAAAGTGTTTCCACGCTAACTGCGATCAAGTGGGCGGGGCGGAAAAACTGCGATCAACCTCATGGGATTGGTTGGGATTTTCGTTTAACATTATCTTTACCAAATGAATGGATAGCCGAATTCATTTACAGATATTTGATTTGTCTAAGTATTTTGTTTTGTCTGTATGCGTGTCGCATTAGTATTGAAGCCTAGATGTATGAGTTTGGAACCATATTTCAGCGGTCTTTGTTAGAAAGTAATGCTTCCTTAAAATTTATTCGTTGATTAACATATTATAACGTTTGTTTGTCAGAGATGCGACGATCGCCCAACTGCTATCACTGGGTGCGGCGCGTACTCCCGTGCAAAACCAACAGCTACGATCACTTCAGCTCGAGAGAGACTTCGAGCGACGAGCTACGCAGCACGACCAGGTTAGTGTTTCTAGTGATGTAAAATAAAAAATAAAGACTTTTCCGCTATTTTGGAAAAAAAACATCGTGATGTTGTTTTTTTCTGAATTTGTTTTATTTTAAGATACCTATTTTGAAAAAGAAATGTTTATTTAGGTATGTTATGTCTGATTCCACACATATTGAACATAAATCGAACGGGGAATTAGAGGATTAGCCCGAACATCGTTGTGTTGCTAATTGTTGAAAGCTTTGGTGGTAACTATCAATCAAAAATTTGTGGTAGATTTTAAAATAAACTGAAAACCTTATTAGAAACTCATAAGCATAATATCATAATAAAACTTTAACGGAAACTTCCTAAACAATTTGAATTCTGCACTAGTGAAAAAATAAGCTCCAGAAAAAAAAACGACTTTCATCTCTAGGTGTATCACATGCACATAGAAAACTATAGTGGGTATCTGCGACTTCGTCTATGTCTTTCCCGGGACTCGAAACTACTTTCTTGATTCACTTGTTTTTTTTTCTAAGTTTTACAGCCTTGAATTTCTCCATTCCGGCCCTTGATTCATCGAACTAATTATAGTGTTGTATGACTTGTTCACGTATTTTTTTTTTGCCCAATTCATCACATTCGTATTCTAATAAGGATTTTCTGGAATGACGGGCGCCAGGTGACAGCACTGAGGCGAAGGTCTACACATCCGTCAAATCGCATAATATATTGTAATTTTCTATCGATCAATTTAAATGCTCGTTCGATTTGTTCGCGCCATAAACTTCATATAAAAGACCTCACGTCACGGTGGCGCCAACTAGTTACCTGAATTTTCCTAAACACCCTCATTAAAGCATATTACTTATATTTACAGCAAATTTTTGATTTATAATAATATTATCCGGTGGGCACACGGTTGAAACATGAAAAAACATTTTACTCACAGTTTATGTAATTAAAAATAACCGTAAACAATGTTTATAGGCAAACTCATTGCGATTTGTTTTATTTATCAATGGTACTTGATAATACATATTTTTTGTCTGGTGGGCGAAGGAAAACATCTCTTGGAATCTTCGACTATTAATGACACATCCATCCTTGTGACTGGCTGCATAACAATCAGATAGACGTATTCAATGTTATGTGTTTGAGGAGCTCGATGGCGCAGGTGGTTAGCGCGTTCGGCTACGATCGTTGAAGTTAAGCAACTTTCGCAGTGGTCGGTCATTGGATGGGTGACCAAAAATCTTCTATCTCGAATTCCTCCGTTGTTCGAAAGGCACGTTAAGCCGTTGGTCCTGGCTGCATCTGCAGTCGTTAGCATCCGCCAATCCGCACTGGGCCCGCGTGGTGGGTCATGGCCCAATCTCCCTATTCCATCCATACGGAAGGCCTGTGCCCCAGGAGTGGGGTCATTAATAGGCTGATGACGATGATGAATGTTATGTGTTTTAGGAGGAAGTCGCAGCTTTAGAAGCAGGAGTCGATGACGATGAAGAAGAACAGCTTACGGAGATGGAACCACGAACTCCCGTTCCTGCTTCCGCTTCCGCTCCCGCTCCCGCTAGCACTCAGCCACATCCTCAACCGCCCAAGTCTATACTGAAGGTCAATACTCGCCCGGAAATGGCTAATGGATACGCGCCCGAACCGGTGAGTTGATCAAATTATCTGCTTGATTTATCTTTGATATTATATGTGACAGATATATTGGTAGTAAGTCTTCTTTACAAGCAGTTATTTAAAAAAGTTGTGGTAGTAAAATTTACTATGCTAAAAAGTGTTTATGGATACTAAGCAGCGCCCCCTGCCGTCCAGTAAGAACAAACTAACTCCTTCCACACAAAGAAGATCACGATACGATTAAAGAGCTGTCCAAATTTGTGCTTGGGCCTCAAAGCGAATGCCCCCATTCGACTAACGGGATTGCTTCGGAAAACGCTATCGCTTACGATTTCATTTTGTTATTACCGCCGAAGGTTTTCAAATACCTCCACGCTCATTTTCTTTTATATTGTTATTACCAATGCAAAAGAAAAAAAAAGAGCGCGAAGCATTTGAAAACCTCAGGTGACTAGAAATAATAAAATAGCGTTTTCCAAAGCAATCCCTTTAGGCGAATGGCCCCCTGGTCTGACACATCGATCTTATAAAGTAGGTGGAAATGAGTATAAAATTCTGTAACTGTTACTGTGCAAGAGTAAAGGAATTCATTTATTTTTGTGTGTATGATGTCTTATAACCTTTTTAACCGTCATGTAAGTTAGTGTTTGCCTGCCCCTCTAGCATGACCACCAAAACGGGATATGTAAAGCGATATATCGGTATTAACTGTCAGACTACAGTGCAGTTTCACAGTAGTCTGACAGTTAATGCCGATATATTGCTTTATCATATCCCGTTTTGGTGGTCATGCTAGAGGGGCTGATCATACAATTTCCATTAATGATAATTCACTATTGTTATCAGTTTACTTTCACTTTGCCTTGGTTCGATTAAACCAAACTTTTAAATTTTTGCTGTTATTTGGTACACAATCAAGCTTACCAGCTTTTGGACGAAATATTAATGCAAACGCGGTGAACGATAACACAGAAAAAACTATTGAATTTTTTACAACATTTTAATACGATTTATATTTCTTGCGTATGAACGATTTTAGTGATAACTAGATTGCTGCTTAATAGTACTTCCCTCTTTTTCTCCGGTTTTGGCGGTTGACATCTAATCAAAATCAGTACCTTTAGCACGAACCAATATGAAATTCTAATAATTTGCAAGTGCGAAATGTCATTGTCAAATTTTTATGAAAACTTGTACAGCAGCGCCACAACGGGCTTAACGAGAACTAAAAATCAATACGATACACGTTTGACGTACAAAATGGAGCGAATCCAACTCGAATCCAATTCGAATTCGATAATGGTTCGTGCTTAGGGCTACAGATAACGTCGTAACGCTAACCTATTTTTTGTCACGCAGCAATCGCAAGCGGCGCCGCAAGCGAGCGCGCAGGAATCGAACCGCGTATCGGAAGTGACGAGCGGAGTGAGTGCTCTCTCTGTGAGCGCGAATATTGTAAGCGGGAATACTATGAGCGGACAGAATGTGAGCTCCCCTCCCCCGCCTCCCCCCGCCAGGGGATCCTCCTTCGCAGTAATGGCGGGGAGGACGCGACCTCCTTCTGAACAAACGCCAGTTCATCACGCACCACTGTAAGTCACTTTAGCATTTATTAGCATTTCGACGATCTCCGTGGCCGAGTGGTTTGTACGCCGGGTTTCAGGGTGTCGCCGACTCGAGAGGTCCCGGGTTCCCAGGTCCCGGTGGGGGAATCCCGATGTTTGTGTGATGAATACGAGCATTTGTACTCCAGTCATGTTCAATATGTATTTCTATAAAAATTTAAATACTAATACAGTGGTGGTCACATAATTAAAGACACCCCCTAATTAACCACAAAAAAACTTACTTATGGTACTCACATTAGCTAAAATTGGTATTTACTCCAGTTTAATTGTTATCAAACCATACACGACGTTGTATTCCTACAATGTGGGACAAAAAATAGTTGTGTTCGTTAGTAGTTTAGACACTGCTCACTATGGGAACGTAACACAAACTTTTTTAACGTATTTATAGCTGGCCAGCTAATTAAAGACACTCGATTTGCTTAGAAGAAATAGAAAAAAATATTGTTATTATTGAAATTATCTTTATTACACAATATTCCTTACACATTTATAAAATTTTCCGATACGTATCAATATTTGATCGCATGTCCTTTGGCAGAAATGACAGCACGACATCTCTTGGGCATGGAAGCTATCAATTTTTTACAACTTCCACCGGAATTTGCTTCCAAGCTTCTCTAAAAGCTGTGTAAAGTTGATAGATGTTTGATGTCCGTTTTGTCGCCACTGACTTCTTCACCTGGTACCACAAATTTTCTATTGGGTTTAAATTAGGACTGTACGGGGGCCAATCCAAAACTGTCACAGACTGGTTCCTAAAAAAGTCTTTTATTACTTTTGCAATGTGTTTCGGATCATTATCCTGTTGGAAAGTCCAAATGACCGGTAAATTTTGCTCGGTATAGGGCAGCATGACTTGTTCTAAAATATTCTTGTACTGAAATTTATCCATGTTGCCTTCTATTTTCCTGACAGGTCCTGAGAAACAGCCCCAAACTTTGATATTTCCGCCCCCATGTTACACTACTTTCTTGGTATACTTTGGATCCATTTCTTTGTACGGGGGGCGTCTAACATATTGTTTTTCGTCAGAATTAATCATATTAATTTTTGTTTCATCAGAGAAAAGCACATGTTTCCATTCTCGTTCAGTCCAGTGTACATATTTTTTAGAAAATGCTTATCTTGCCTTAACATTTTGCTTTTTCAAAAGTGGCACATTCCGAGATACTATTCAGTACAAGTTTGCCTCACATAGTCTCCATCGAATTGTTCTTGCAGACACACCCTTCGACCCTCCTGCACCAAACAACTCCGAACGTATCAGTTCTGATCCCTTGAACGAATCTTTTTTTGCCAACAACACCATCTTAGAGTCTTCCCGCAGAGTAGTTTTTCTTGGTCTCGGTTTTCTTGGTACGTTTTCGGTCGTGTTGAACTTGAAATGTTTTATAAGCATTCATAACCATGTCCTTAGCACAGTTCCAGTGGTTTGCTATTTTTCTGTATGACCAATCTTTATTATGAAAGTTGAAAATAAGAAAAAGAAAATATTTTCCGTTGTCACGACAAGCCAGGCCAAACAATAGCCACATATCAGAACACTGTATTAAATGTGACTATTGCTTGGTTAGATGCGTCGTGAAAACATCAAATGTTCGCTTTAGTGTGGCTGTAGTGTTACAGCTATCACTTTTTTTGAATAAACACTTTCGACTCAATTTACGTCTAAGATGCGACCGTAAGTCGCCTGTGAATTAATTTTTACGGTCTGTTGGTGCAATGGTAGATATCCTGCCTTCCGCTCCAAAGATTCCTACGTTTTAATCTAGGAGGACGAATAGTGTTTACTATCACGTTACTGTTAAATTTGGATTTAAGATTTTTCACAAATTCATTGATAATAAGCTCTCATGAATTAAGATTTAGCTGTCTATCAGTTAAGACAAATCAATGAAATTTAAATCGTAATGACAAATAGTACATCGAATTTTATGAATGTTACAGCATAAGGTTTATTTTTTTCACTGATATTTGTTACAGTTCGTTATTTTCTGCATAATATAATTGTTTATTGCCCAGGTCTCCCGTAAGCAGTGGTCGAGACAAGCGCGTGTCGTTCCACGAGCGGCCCGCGCCCGCTCCCGGGCCTGCTCCGCCCGCCCCGCCCTCCACCTCCCCGCCCCCGCTCGAGCCGCCGCCCCGCGAGGACCCCGACGTGAGTACACAATGCTCCCTCGAGCGGCCCGCAAACGCTCCCAGGCTCGCGCCGCCCGCCCCGCGGTTCTGATTCTGAAATATATATTTATTTCTTTATAGCGCTTCATCGAAGAGGCGGAGAGTATGCTAGCAGGCCCCACGTCGCCCGTGACTCCGACGCCCACGCACACTCCCGGGGTTATCGGCGCGCAAGAAGTCTACAGGTAAGCATTTACATTTACATAAACTACCTTCTACGGGCAATTTGAATATTTTATTACATCGCCCCCATTTTGTTGTTTATCTTTGGCAAATCGCATTGCATTTTAAATTATTCTTTATAAATCAGACCTTATACACAAGCATCAAGTTGGTTCAGTGGTAGCGAACTCGCTTGCTGCGTGGGCGGCCCGGGTTTGATTCCCAGCCGAGAAAGGCCTTTTTTCCACCTTCTATAAACCGGAGGAAACTTATCTTCGAGTAATTTTCAGTCTAATGCCTACTTAATTCAGACGATGTTAAACACTTCATCCCCTTATTAATAATAAACGAGAAATAAGCTTAGACTAGTTACGCTGTGTTTTGTTCATATGTCACTCAAGTGCAATTTGTTATTCAATGAACAGAGACAAAACATTGAGTAACTAATCCAGGCTTAATCTTTGTTTACTAATAAGAGGCTAAAAGTTTCACTTCATCAATCGTGGTTTCATAAAACCAAATCTAATTTTTCGTAATGAACCAGGGATCCGCGCACTCGCCGCCTGGCCGAACAACAGGCGCGCGCGAGCACGGCGCCGGTGCCCGAGCAACTGTCCTTCAAGGAGAAGATGAAGATGTTCGCGCTCGAGTCCGGCGAGAACTCCACGCCCAAGGACAAGGTAACATTACACATACACCCATGCGCGTACGCACACAGTTGCGGTTACAGCGGCGCGCGATCTGCATCATCTATACATAATTATAATAAAATGGTAGGAAAGTCAAAACTACATTGAATATTTTTTTAAAAGAATAATTGGGGTTTGATCTACTATCGATGCCAAAAATATAGTTTTATTAGAATTTTTGTCTGTTTGTCTGTATGTATGTCCGGGATAAACTCAAAAAGTATTGAATGGATTTACTTCTTTGGCACGAATATTATTAAAAAGTCGGGTCAACGTATAGGCTACATATTATCACGCTATCACCTACGGGGTCCTTTATTTCTAACTGACTCCACGCGTACGAAGTCGCGGGCGGTCGCTAGTAGGCGATATGGAAGTGACTAAACACCTCGAGCCTCTTCAATTACGCCGTGACGTGACGTTCTAAGAGCGTTCTATCGTCTGTACCACGTCGAGTGTTCTGAGGAGTTATTCTAGAGAGTTATTCTCCCTTATTCCACCTTCCCCTTTTCTTTTCCCACGCTCGCTGGATTTCGTCGTCACCGTCTAACTGTGGACACAATTCCAAAGAAATATGGTGACTTATATCTTTGTCGCACTATCCGTAAATGGAATGCTCTGCCTGCTCACGTGTTCCCTCCCTCTTACAACCTGGGATCCTTTAAAAGAGGCGTGAAGAAGCAATATGCAGGCCGGCAAGATGAGGATAGCTGGTGTGGCAGGTAGAACTACTGTACCAGCTATCTTCACTTCTGGACTTCACCATTACTTAACATCAAGTGGGGTGGAGTCATATATCGGACCTATCTATAAACGCACTCACAACCCCGCCGCCGCGCCGCGTGAAGTAATGTCGCATTTTTCTCTGATTCTGATCGTGCTGGCTAAATAGTTGCAGAAACACAAACAGACAGATACAGAATAGCAAATCTACCATGCGACTTCATCGATATGAAGTTGACAGTTAAAACCCAATTTTAATGAAAAAAATACAGTGCAACTAGTTAAACTTCATTTTACTTAACAGTTATATATAATAAAATAATAAACACTCCCCTAAAAATATAATTACTTGCATAGAACGTTTCTCCCACTCGCACTTAACCGAAGCTTTTCAAGAATCGTATACATAATGTTTCAACTTTGTCGTTACAGGTTAAAATATCCCGAGCTCAACGTGACATCGACGCAGTACACTAATGCATTGGCGTAAATCTACTTAACCGTTTAAGTATATGATATGCCCTATAAATCTTAGACTAATCAGCGGTTAACTTATGTAATTAAATGACACGCGTCATATTATATCAGTATTATACTAACAGAGATATATTGAGATGTTGCGTCGAATCGAGTTTTCGTATTGTATAATATAATTTTTATCGTTTTTTATACAATACAGTCATGGAAGTAGATATTTCATAACCGATTAAATATCCTTATAAAATATGAAGTGAACGAGTTTTGTGGATGTGTTTTGTCAGACCAACACTTTGCCTTTAACCGAATTTGGTACCAATTTTGTATGTCGATTGTAGAATAGCGATTTATTCGAATGACTATATTTTTATGGTAATGGATTTCGAGTATTATACACATCATATCGCCTTAGCAGCTAGAGCAACATTTATTGTGAGTTTCAGATTACATTTATCTTATAACCATTTTTGGTGTGTCCAAAATATATTTACAATTATATTTTGTATAAATTATAGTATGCATAGTGAAATGTTTTGATGTATTCGATAAATATTACTTACGTCCTGCATAAAACAATTATGTACCAAAAATGTATATGCATTACAAAAACAAAACACCAAACTATCGGAATGGACCAATAATTATGATGAGTGGGTGTCAGTAGGTGCCTTTATGTGTAAGTGGATAAAATCATTTAACATATCCTCTGTTTGTCGTTTGGTTCACTTGGAGCTTCGTTACATTCCAAAGAGTATTTAATAATGAATATTCTTTATCAACTTCTACTACATGAGTAAGCATTCCTATAGAAATCTTCTATGATCCCGTTAAAAAGTCTATGTGTATAACACGCTGTTAATTGTGAGGGTCACTGTACCTTCAGACGATATAAAGCAATAAATATTTGTCAAGCCTTTGTGTTGTAAATAAGATCTATAAATTCTTTTTTTTACATATGTTTAAGCACATATTTGTGCCAAAATACAAAAATGTACTTGTGGCAAAATTAAGCTTTGGACGACATGTCCTTGTGCGTTGGCAGCTGGGTGAAGGTCACAACTGGTTAGCTTCCGTTTGGAGAGAGCAGCTACGCATTATGATTACGCAGTAAGACTAACCAACACTTAAAGTAAGACCATATCGGCTTCGAGCCTGTTAAACAATACCAAATTAAGTTTTGAGTAGTTATAATTTTCTTTGTATAAGGAAGCAAAGTTCAGATTTTTTTACACAATGCTGCTGTTAAAATGCATCTTTTATAAATCGGTTTGTACTACTTTTATTTCAATTTAATTTGTATTGTTGAACAGAATCGAGTCTACAATTTTATTGTATATAATAGTTAATAGAATCCAAATAATTATGTTAAGATTTTGTACACCTGTTTGTATTTGTACATGTTTATTTAAAAGAAAACATCTGGACATGTAAAGGGCCTATCATAATGTAGTTAGTTTAGTTCCTGAGAATACTTTTGAATGTTCTCAGTATTGACCCAACGATAGTCAATTAGCGAAAGATTGAGATTTATTTCTAGAATGGAGTATTAATAAAATTATTATTTTATGCTTAGATGTATATAATCAATCACATTTCAATAAATAGTTTTATTAGCTGATTAGTTTTGAAAACTTGACTTAAAAATGTAAGTAATCGAAATGGCATACATTTCACATATTTCTTTTATTACTATTACCATTAATTATTGTACTTCATAAACTTATTACAAGCAAATAATAAATAAAGTAACTTTATGCTGCAGATTTATTATTTAATACGCCACCCACTTAGTAACCCTAATATAATGTCGGCTTACTGATGTTTATATTACATGTTGATAATTTAGAGCATCGACGGTTTAATTTTCAAATTACAGCCAATACATCTCTTATGATACTGTGCAAATTGATAGATAAAAAGAAACACTAAGGCTCAACTCGCACTGGCGCAGTCGGAACGTCGCGGCTTGTGTTTTTCGCCTTAGAAATACTTTAATAGTGGAAAAATAGAGGTGAATTTGCTAGAAGGGGAAAGCATAACGCGTCGCGTCACTTCGACTACGCAAGTGTGAGTATTTTATTTTCAATCTCATATTTACTAGAAGAAAATGTATTGATGGCCGCACAAGTCGACTAACTTATTTTGACTAAAGTTTATACTGTCACTTTGCTTGCGATAACAATAGACCGAGACAATACGTGACTTTAAATTTGTTTGACAATTCAGAATACGGCTGTCATCCTGTGAAACTAAGGAAATGAAACAACCTTATCTTCAAATCCCTTTATTAGCGTTGGAATAGAAGCCACGGTAAGTCGGTGGCAACGTCGGCCAGCGCGTTTGGTTCTCTAAAGGAAAGAAGGTGGAAAAATTATCTAGCTAATTTATTCACAAAAAAAAAATGGGTGCGTGTACGTATGTAGGCGCGTGAGAAGTTATCCTTCTTTGGCATCGTTTAAAATTAGTTTTTAATTGCATGCAAATAATTAATTACAATAAATTAATAAAAAGTCTGGAAAAGGACACAGTCAATAAAGTTCAGTTTTAATTTGAAAAAATAAATAAATAATCAAAATATTCAATTAAAATCGCTCCTGAATATAATTTATTAGAACATATGTGATTTGCACTTGTATGAAACTCAAACACGTATTCCGAATATACAAACTAGAAACATGTGGATAAATATTATAAATATGAATACCTATAACTGTTACTTTATAACAAAAAATAAAGATGTGGTTTTTGGTTCTACTACACCAATGGTCAAGAGATGGCGCTGTAGTCTCCTGAATCGCGCTTTGGTTCCGTTGTTCCTGTAGTGTATACCTATCGGAAACGTAATTAGGTCATGTCGCAATCTGCTATTTACGTAGATAGTTTTAGCAAGTAAGCAATATTATTAATTCAATTATTTTGTAATGTTTTATTGCACTCAATAAACGGACTTCAAACTATAAACATTGTTTCCTTAAATAACCAACGATAGGCTAATATTAGATGGCGACCCTTGCCATTCGAATCGTGTTATATACTTCCACCAAGAACTCAGTCAAAAGAAGACCAAACCTATTTCCAAAAATTCAAGATCCGTATTTTTCAAGAATACAAGATAATTTTCACAAGAATTAAGACAACAAGAGATTACAGAAGAAACAAATAATGGGAAAATCGGCATCCAAAGAACAAGTTGTGATAGCTCAAAACGCAAATGGAGCAGCTTCGGCAACAGCATAATCCTGTTTGCTGCAATTTATTACATTTTCAAGAAATGCAATAAACATTTTGTTCGCACCATACAACGAGAGCTCAACAGGAACAACATAGCCACCATCTCACGAGCTGACCTCACTACCAGCGCAGTCTAAGAAGTTTAACAAGAGGAGTCCAGGATTCAGCCCGGCCAAAACGTCTGTCATATATCAGTATCAGCACCACTGCAGCCAGCTCGCCTGCCCCAGTCCCTCGGAAGAATCTTAGTAAAAATGTGTATCTTGAACAACCAAATTAAAAAGTATGTAATCATATATTTTTTTTAACTATTTTTATTTTCAATTTATCGTTATGAAGCACGTACTTAATATTTTTATTGTTTTTAGTTTAGATAATTATGTCAGGTGAAGTATTTGAAATTCATGAACTACATAAATCATTAGTATATCTTAGAGATTATTTAGTTAAATTAGGACCTAAAGGAAGGCAACAGGACCTTGGTTTGAAAAAAGTTAAAGAGGCAAAAGTTTTGTATTCAAAGTTGGAGAGTATTTTGTCTGTGTTGCATTCTCAAATTGAAACTGAACAGATTTCTACTAGTGATATAACTTCCATCCATAAAATAATAAATGAAATTCATCAAATTTTTAATAAAATTATAGAGTTATCAATTTCTGAGCAGAAACAAAGTGAAACAGTCAAAATGAGTGATAATTGCGAGTTTGATTTAAAAACTGCCATAGCCTTATTGCCTGTAATGATGGGACAAGAGTCTGTTACTAATTCCCTTATAAATAGTATAGAATTGTACAGTAAGATGATCTCGGACAAATCTAAAAGTCAATTAATTGAATTTGTTTTAAAAACTCGACTTTCACCGAGCGCACAGTTACGGCTGAGTTCAACTTACGATACAATTGAAAATCTTTTAAATGACATGCGCAAACATCTTATTCAAAAAAAATCAGAAGTCGTTTTACAATGGAAGTTGCATCAGAGTAAACAAGGCAATCGATCTATCGAATCGTTTGGTTCAGAATTAGAAAATTTATTTGTCAACTTAACAATCGCTCAGTCTAGTGGTGATCCTAATTCATACAAAGTTTTAAAACCAATTAATGAGAGAATCGCTATCAAGCGCTTCGCAGATGGTTTGTATGACCGTAGACTTAGTACTATTATAGCATCGAGACAGTTCGAGACCTTGCCGGAAGCCATCAGAACTGCCATGGATGAGCAGTCCCTGCCTTCAGACTTTGGAATGTCAGTAGAACCATTGTATAATTATAATGATTACCCTAAAGAGATGAAGTATCGATTACAGAGAGCACAGTAGGATGCAAAAATTAATTTATTTTCTAGTAAGTTGAAAAGAAAATTATTGTATGACAAATGTACTTATCCTATTACATGACTTTTTCCAGGGAGTTGTAGTGTATACCTATCGGAAACGTAATTAGGTCATGTCGCAATCCGCTATTTACGTAGATAGTTTTAGCAAGTAAGCAATATTATTAATTCAATTATTTTGTAATGTTTTATTGCACTCAATAAACGGACTTCAAACTATAAACTATGTTTCCTTAAATAACCAACGATAGGCTAATATTAGATTCCAGATTAATAAATACTTTTTGTTACTTTATTACAAAAAATAAATATGTGGTTTTTGGTTCTACTACACCAATGGTCAAGAGATGGCGCTGTAGTCTCCTGAATCGCGCTTTGGTTCCGTTGTTCCAGATTAATAAATACTTTTGATAGGCCTTCACAATGCAGTCGTTAGCACCCACAAAATAGAGATTCTATTTCTATTATGTTGGTAGATTTTCTTAATGTGCGGTAAACACAAAAGTAACAGCATGAAGTTGGTCGCTAAGCGACCAACTTCATGCTGTTAATTTTCTGTGTTACAGTGATGCGCGCGCATCTTAAAATTTCACTCTCATCATTTTTTCATAACGCGCCTAAAGAAGTATAACTTCAAAAATGGCATATTAATTTCCCATTAATTCTGTAAAAAGCTGGCGAAGTTAAGAATTACATTCTAAGAGCTGCGAATAAACTAAATGGAGCATAGCGCTGCGTAGTTCGAAGTTGATTATGAATAACTTGTCAATAACTATTGACACGGCTTTGGATGTCGTATACCCTCAACGCATTTCAAAAGTGTGCAGTCTTTTCATTAAACATTGTATGTTTAATGAAAAGACTAACGCTTAGGACACACAAAGGTAATGGAAGCGAATTTTTGCGATAAAATTGTGATTGGCATAGTGAACTTTATGGCAATTGTATAACATACAAACTAAATAAGAGTCAAAAAAAGGTTGCGCGCTGTGGTTGCGCGTCTTCCAGGGAATACTAGTGCATTCTCGAGAATCAACCATTTTTCGCAAAACTCTAGCAAAAAATGTAAATACTGAAAAGTAAAAAATAGTAAACCTTTTTTAACTTTAGACAAATTAATATTTTGGAGTCAGTGCCAGTTACAGGTCAACACGAAGGTAGTAAATAGGAACTCCGATCTCCAAATATTAATTTGTCTAAAGATAAAAAAGGTTTCTTCTTTTTTTACTTTTCGGCCGTTTAATTATTTTGTTTAAGTTTTATTTTTTTGTGACTATAATTTTTGTAATATGTGAATGAACATTCACCCCTGTTTTCATACTCTTAGGGTTGGATTTTTTTTCCAAATTCATATGGGACCAACTTCGGGATATTAATCCCTTTGCAATCTATACATATATTAAAATGGTAGGAAAGTCAAAACTGTACATTGAATATTTTTTTAAAGAATACTTGGGGTGTAATCTACAATCGATACCGAAGCCAAAATTAGCTGCGTTTTACTTACCACTAAAACGCATGTTGTGTCCGGAGACTTATTCGGGGTCATTTAAACATAATTTTGAGTCTAGCATCTTGCGTTTTCGGTCATTCATTTCCATAGACAAGTAGGCTGAACATAACTCCTTTGCTCTATGAACGGTGGGTCACGTGACGATGACGTAATTTTCCCGCCACTCTCGTTCACCAGGTCGAGCTTTGCAGAAATTTGCACTCATTGTGACCTCAAAATTCTAAAATTCTAAAATCAAAGACACCAGGCAGCACTAAAAGTGATGACCCCGAATAAGTCTCCGGACACAACATGCGTTTTAGTGGTAAGTAAAACGCAGCTATTGTGTCCTACGGCCTTATTCGGGGTCATTTAAACATAATTTTGAGGCATTGTTTGTTATCGCCTGGTGAACCAGGACGCCAATGTGTTGTGTTAAAAGGAGTCATGCTATGAAAGTTAACTATATTTCTTTAATATCAACCAGCTAAATCAAATTTTATTTTAATCTCACTAAAACATATCTTCATAATGTACCTTCTTTCCATATTTTTATGAAATTCATTGTTTACCTAAAGGCTGAAAGAGATGAACTAAAGAATTCCCTTGTGGACGTAAAATTTCCTTTCTGTAATGATTTTTAAAGTATTACCCGACCTCCAGTTTGCTCTGGCCATTATGTCTTCAAGCGGGTCATTGTCTAACCAACTACTAGACGCAACAGCAGAACGAAAACTACCTGGAGTTGCATCTATTCCAGCTTCTTTTAAAACCGTTTTAATCCAACCAGCAATAATTGTTCTTGTAGCTGGTTTCGCTTTTCCTGTGACTGTGACAAATAAACGATCACTGGAACAAAGTAACCTGCGAGCCGAACCTAGGTCAACCAGCTTTTTAAGCCAACGTATTGGATCTAAAACAGCACTTTGAGAATTTCTTAACAATCTCCATCCCGATTGGATATGAGTTGCAGAATCAGTCTTAGAACCAAAATGAGGCCAAAACACTATAGAATCCTCTTCAATTATAATTCTATCTGTAGCGACGCTCAACAGTGTCAAGTCATGCACCCTACGTCCCGAGCATAGTAATAAAATAACCGCACTTATTCGAGATACTTCATATAAGGTGGGATTTTCAAGAGTTCGTTTATCTAACCACACCACCAATGAGTTAGGGTCCCAAATCGGCCCTGGATGACTTTTTGGCTTAAGTAAAGAAATAGATTTAAGCATTTGTTTAACAAGTTCGTTTGAACTCAATCGAACTTCACTATTTGCATTGCAAAGAGTAGATACTACCGATTTATGTAACAAAATAGTCCGATAAGACAAACCTTCTTTCAGATGTAAATCAGCTAAAAATCTAGCCAAATCACTACCCGTTGGATCTGAAAAATTTACACCATGCTCTGAACACCACTTTAACCACCTCAACCACGCTGGTTTATAGGTATTAATAGTGGAGTATCTCCAGCTACCCTGAAGAAGACGTTTTTGCTCCTCTGACCAATCACCTAACGATTGAGACCACCCCCACATCTCCAAACCTCCAGAACCAAATCCCCTACCCGTGGTGGAGGTAGACCCGACGCCGTGTCTATTAAAACTCTCTCCAGTCGGTGAATTGTGAAGGGTGGTGCGATTGCCCGCGCCTTCAAGTCTGCCCTCCAGAACGCCTGTTTCCATCTGGGTGCCACTATCAGATATATGCCTTGTGCATAATTCAGATGCATAAGAACTTGGGGCATTAAGCTCGGTGGAGGAAACACCCACGCCAGCTTGAAATCCCACTGAATCGCGAACGCATTTTGCCTCCAAGCTTGGCGATCTTTTTGATCCAATGTCACATATTGAGGCACCACGTGTGCCGTGATAGACGCAAATAGATCGACTTGTGGAACCCCCCACTTCGCAAATACTACCTTCGTTCCTTCTGAAAGCAGGTACCATTCCGATATCATCGACCTTTGACGTGATAGACTGTCCGACACGTTGTTGTAACGACCTGGAATATGATAGGGGCTTATGTGAATGTCGTGTTTTTGTAACACATGAAATATCTTGAAAACAAGTCCTAAAAGAATTTTGGACTTGTTCCCGCCTTCGTTTCTGAGGTAAGCCACAACAGCTTTGTTGTCGCATTGAATCAAAAGTGAGGTACGATTCAGAGAGGGAGCGAATTCTGTAAGACATTTGAAAATGGCCAGCATTTCTTTGTGATTCGAATGATAACGCTCTTCTTCTTCTGACCAGGTTCCTCTCAGGTGAATCCCATTCAGCTCCGCACCCCAACCGGTATCTGCCGCATCTGTAACCAAAAAACTCTTTGCTAACGGTGGGTGAAGTCTGGCTCTTTCCACACAATGCTCCTTCCACCACTGCATTTCTTCCAAAACCTGTGTGGGCAAGGGGTAAGTACCCTGAACCGGTAGTTTCAACAGACAATTGCTGTGAGCCAAGAGATGACGAAAATTTAATCGACCCGTTGGTACAACCAGTCGTGCGAAATTCAAAACGCCGATGATGCTTTGAACCTCCCGCAGTGATGCCTTCTTCCGCTGTAGAAATCCCGATAGCATCCTTCGTAGACTCGTAATCTTGTTCTCTGGCAAGAACTTGCGGTTGTTCCAGGGATCCCAAATCAAACCTAGATATTCTATAATCTTTCTTGGCTCTAAAATGGGTCGTAGAAGGGTGAAAATTTAGGGTTGTATGTATTTTTGTATGATGTATCATAAAAAAATAAAAACAAAGAAATTGTCCAAACAAAAAATTTTATGTTGGACCACCCTTAACCACCACCCATTTAGGGGGATGAAAAATAGATGTTGTCCGATTCTCAGACCTACTGAATATGCATATAATTTTACGAAAATCGCCGTTTCGGAGGATGTTAATTACGCACACCGTGACACGAGAATTTTATATAGTAGATTATAAAGAGGAAAGATTTGTTTGTTTGTTTTTATTGAATAGGCTCCGAAACTACTGGACCGATTTGAAAAGTTCTTTCACGTTAAGAATCCTACGTTATCCCTGATGAACATAGGCTAGAGTATATTCAAAAAAGTTAGGGTTCCGCATGGAAACTTCTATAACGAACCCAGGGTGTGAAAAAAATACCAAAAAATAACCTTATATCGCTTACGCCGCAGAAGTCATTGACAGTAGAGCAAAGTGATGTATTAAAGTTTTATAGAGAACATTAATATCTACAAAAAAGTTCGAGATACCATAATATGTCTAACTATTACAGTTATGTCACAACCATACCTATTGTTGCTACCCCTGCGGTTTCACCCTCGTTAATTTGAGTCCTAAAAGTCAGTAGTCATCAAGCCCTATATTTTTGAAATTGTCAAAAAAATATTAAAAAAACTTGAAAATTTTATACAATTTAGTTTATCCATTTTTAAGTTTAAAAATAATTGCCATTCGTTTACGAGCTTACAGCAACAAGTTTTAAATATTTTTTTGACAATTTCAAAAATATAGGGCTTGATGACGTGCAGGGCTGAGGAGTCAGGCGATGCTTACCGTATTAAGCATGTTATGACTCATCACCATAAGAATATCTAGCCTTACAGACAGACCGTTACTCGGAGGGTTCAGTAGCTCTCCTACTATAAGCCTTCCTCAATAAATGCACTATTTAACATAAAGTTTTTTTTCGAATCGGATTATTAGTTTCTATGATGCGCGTTCAACTAAAAAAAAAGTGCATTCGGTACAACGGGTACGGTACAGTAGGCAAGAAAATTTTCACTATCAGTTAAATAAATGTTCATGGAAGATTTATAATTATATAAAAGAAATTCATTGTGTAAAGGGCTATGCTCGGCCTTTCTCTGAAGGATCGTATCAGAAATGAGGTAATCCGACAGAGAACCAGAGTTATCGACATAGCCCACCGGATTAGCAAACTGAAGTGGCAGTGGGCTGGCCATATTTGCCGATGAACCGATAATTGTTGGGGTAGACGAGTTCTGGAGTTACAATTGCGTCTAGGCAAACGTAGTGTAGGACGTCCTCAGGCACGATGTAGTGACGATTTGCGCCACCTTGCGCTGGCAGCAGTTGGATGCGAGTAGCCGAAGATCGATCTGAGTGGCGTGCAATTGGAGAGGCCTATGTCCAGCTGTGGACTAGGATGGGCTGCTGATGATAATGATGATTGTGTATAATACAAGCCTGAGAACAAAAACTATAGTCTTCCTACACTACAGCTCTACAACGAAGCGAAGCGAGAACGCTGCCAAATTAAAACATTATAAGTTTTAATTTAGGCAGAATACCAGCGCTGTTACGGTATTAATAGTCCCGTCCCATTGTAACAGCATTAAGCTGAGGCAGGGTTCTGATTGGCCTTTCTACTTTCTGCATATTGTGTTTCTGTTTGTTTTTATTTGTTATCTATATTGTTTTTTTTTTTATTGTTACATACTTGTGTTTTAAGGTCAATAAATGATTTTTCTTTCTTTATAAACAGGCCGATAGAATGTGTCTGGAAGTATTTATAACATAGAATAGGGACGTCTGCTAAAGAAATTAAAAATAAATCTACTTAAAAGTATTTTATTAAATAAATAATCATCCGATACAAACTATACTACTCTTCAAACTTTCAGTTTTGGTAATTCTGTGAAAAATCTATTAAGAAGTGCCACATATTTTTTTGTTAATAAAATAAAAATCTAATCTCTAAACATTATAGTTCATAATCTTGTTCTAAGTAACAGTCATCAGAACACAACAAAAATCATCAAAATAACTAATTATCGTAATACTTAGATAGGTTAACTACCTATACTATACATATATACACATCTTTTATATAATAATCAGCAGTCAATTACTTTACTTTATGACGGTTTAGATTTTCTCATAACTTTTCTTCTTCTCTTCACAAATATTCTAACATCAGGTGCATCTACTTCGGTTTGAGAGTCCAATGTTTCATTATTTGAAGTCTGATCTGTACCTGTATTATTATCGTCAATACTTACAACTATATTATGCAAGTAGTTGCTAACGCAGTCAGGATTGGACGTTGAATTACCTGTAATTACTATGGGCAAAACAACTGGGTTTTCTTTGATTTCTTTCTGTGGGGTAGAGGTCGCTAAAGCTTTTAATAATAGGTCTGGCTTCTGTAATAAAACATTTTGAAGATTATTAGTTTTGTGAGCTTCATCCACATTATATTCATGATTCTGATATTCGGAAGTATCTTTTTTCACTTCTCCAGAAGACTTATCACAAGTGGGTTTAGGATCAGTTTCCGTTTGATTGGAGGAAACAGTTTTTTCTGTTTCTTTTTTCTTTGATTTCTTTTTCTTAATATTATTAGGTTTGCCACTTATACATTTTTCTGGTAATTTTACACCAATGTTTCCTTCACATTCTATGTTGTTCGCATCATTAGTTGTTATGGTGTCTTTTTTGTTTGGTATGTCAATCGGCTTCTGCAAAACCGCATCTTGAGCGTCTTCACAAATGGGTATGTATTGCACTGTTTGGCTTTGAGTTTCTACAGTTGGTAATCCTAAGTCATCTGGTGTTATTAAACTGCTGGTTGTATCACCAAACAACTCACTAAATTTAGTCTTTATTTCTTTTACTTCTTTCTTATCCTTTTTAGATCTTGTTCGTTTTTCTCTGATTACTACAGCATCATCTTTTTTAGAAATCTCTTTATTTAAACTTTTTTGGGATTTTCGTTTGCTTTTGGATTTCTTAGTATCCTCATTTATAGACTTAGGATTTGCTTGCAAATCAAGTACTCCACTCCCTTTATTCGCTTCGGTGGAATGATTTTCACTCATAAATTCATTTTCTGTGGTTACATCTTTAACAGTTCTAATATCAATTTCAGTGATAAGCTTCTTCTGAACGTCATTGTCATTAGTTTCATCACTTAACTCTAAATCCCCTTCTACAGTGTGTTTCCCTGTTGATTTTAAATCATGTTGTTCAATTTTTTTTGTATTTAAATTGTCAGTGTCATCTAATCTATCAAGGCTGTTTGGATCTTTTTTGTCAAATATTTTTCTTTCGTGTACATTTTTAGTAAGATATTCACGTTTTTCTTCAGGTATATTGCACCTATTCATTTCCATACTGACAATATTTTTCTCTTTTAGTTGATTAAAGTCATCTTTGGGTTTGTCCACAGAAACCTGGTTCTTTTCAAGTTGATTTAACTTCGACATTTTATATTTACTATCTTCCTTTAGTGTGGGTATTTTTTCCGATGCTGTTTCGGATGCTGTATTTTTCAAAGAAGCATGATCATAGTTGTAAAGTTTATGATGGAATGGCTGTGCTGTATCAAATGTTTCTAACTCATCCCTATCAAAACTTCCTATTTCGCCAGATTCCATTGACAAATTTGAAACGGGATTCTCGATATCCATGTATATGTTTTGGACTAGGTCTTCACTACACTGCGATGGCCGCCGTGTGAGTGCTTTAGGTAATTCTACACGTTCCATATTCCAACATGAAGTGTCAATTGCCTTGAAATCAATATTTCTTCCAGTAATTGCTGATAAATTTTTGTCACCTTGACACATGATATACCTTTTACTGAGAAGTCTTGGATCTTCTAATTTCATTACAGCTGTGTATCTTATTTCTGTAAAAAACATCATCATTTTAATTACAAAATAACATAATAGCCAACAGGATTAAAATAGTGTCTTTTAAATCATAATAGCAAACAGTCTGCATCATCCCACTGCTAGACATAGGCCTCAATATTGCTGATAAAACACGATGAAGGACAGATCTTTGAAGCTGGCTTACAGATCCGAACGTAATATTTCAATATCCCAAATAAAGGATCTTTATATTAAGTATATTTTTAAAATAAAAACACTTACCTCTGACGGGTTGTGTTGACGCAGATTCTGGTATCACTGGATAATCAGGAGACTGACAATCCATCTGATTTATTTGTTCCACTGAAACAGAAGTTTGTATGGGAACTCTATCTTCGATCCACCTTTTTTCTTCTTCGCGATTGTGATAAGAGTCATTGCGTCTTCTCTTATTCATTGGTTCTTCATTATCATTTGGCAACTTGTGTTTTCCTGCATAGTTTTCTTGATGCCTGCCTCTGAACTTGTCTTTATCATTATATTCATCTGTGTCATACCTTGTTCTGACTTCACGGTTCCATCGTTGATAATTATGTCCTCTGTCAGGAGAAGGACTTTCCAAGACTCTATGTCTCTTAAATTCTTGCCTTGAATTGTGATCGTCCAAGTAGTTTCTGGTGTTTCTTCGAGATTTCTCTGGACTAAAATGTCTCTTATACTTTTGTGGCTCTCTATTTCTATTTTTATAACTATCGTATCTGCTATTTCTGTTTCTGAAATCCTTATTGTATTTATGATAGCTTGAATATTTATCATCCATGCTGGATGTTTCAGATGTTCTATACCTATCATCTAGCAATCTATTCTTATCGTGAAACGTTTTCGTCACATACGGTGGTTTTAAGTCATGGTTAGATTTGTGAAACTTTGAACTAGTAGTACAATAATCTCGATCTTCATCATCTTCATCAGAACTAAATTTAGCCTCTGCCCTAAAAATAAGTAAAAGTGAAATTAGATTGAAAATATTTTATTAAAAATAGATAGATAGACAATTCTTTATTGAACACTGGATAATTGCCGGTCTTATATGCTATGTAGCCATTTCTTCCACACAACCATAGTATGGAGAGACTAAATATAGTTAAAGGGGGAGTGTGTCACTCAAGTAAGTAGGTAGTAAGGGAAGTAAGGATACGAACAAAAGGAGTGAGTTGTTAACTAAATACTTATCTCAAACTAACCTTAACATCATGAATATTGACACAGCGCCCACATGTGTTAGCTCTATCATGGCCTTGAGTGGTCGAGTGAGCACCATAATTGACCAACAACCCAGGAATGGGACTTGGCAAAAACAATAGGAACGGCGGAAAGGATAGAATGGGCCTTAAAGAGTTTTCAACAATTCAAGTCGGCAGGATGGGATAGTATCTTCCCGGCGCTACTACAATGGCAACTCGGCCAGTCAATTAAATACCTACAACCGATCTTTAGGGCCAGCCTGGCCTTCAAGTATATACCGAAACCATGGAGGGAGGCTGAAGTAGTCTTCTTACCGAAACCGGGCAAAGACTACAAAGATTACACACCAGTCAAATCCTTACAAGTTTAGACCAATTAGCCTAACCTATTTCCTTTTGAAGACATTGGAAAGACTGGTAGACCGACACCTTAGGGAGGCAGCACTTAGTAAGGCTCCGGTGCACCCTCAACAACATGCCTACAGAAAAGGCAGATCAACAGAGTCGGCACTGCACTTGGTAGTTCATAAAATAGAGTCGGCAATCACAAACAAAACCTCAACACTAGCAGCCTTCATAGACATAGCAGGTGCCTTTGACAAAACGATGCATAACAGCAACCCACGTCCTAAGAAAACTTAATGTGGATCAAGCCACCAGAGGTTGGATCACCGAACTGGTCGGCAAAAGGGAGTTTCAGATAGTGGGGAACACTACCACACGTGCGAAGGTAGTAAGAGGATGTCCTCAAGGGAGAGTCCTATCGCCACTTCTCTGGAACATAGTAGTAGACAGTCTCCTAAGGAGTCTGAATAATATGGGATACACTACTATTGGTAATACGGACGGCCTAACAATGTTGATAAATGGAAACGCCGAAAATATCCTTTGCCATGTTATGAATTCAGTCCTTCAAATTGTGAAATAATGGTGTGACGAACATCACTTGTCAATAACCCAAATAGGGCTAAACTTGTCCTTTTTACCAACAATAGGAAGTTACCTGAACTACAGTTACCAAAAACTGTTTAACACCAAACTCTCCGTATCAACACAATTGAAATACCCGGGCGTTCAAGTATTACGTAACGCCACAGAACACAGAAAGAGGTTAGAAGGGTGATAAGCGATCGCCAGTATGAGAACCGGTGTCGCCGGCTCGTCCCCACTACACTTCCACCTAATAGATAATAAGCCAATCAAACGACGCGACATCAAGCAACCGAACGAATCAGCGCTCACAGCCGTGACTGTGAGCGTTCATTCTTTGCACCATTGAGCTCCTTATAGATATAGTTAGATAATAAAATACAATTACCTTAGAGCCGGCATAGACTTTCGCCTGTTGCTTATACTTAAAGGTTTAGGTTTAACAATATCTTCTTTTGCAATATTCTCTTTTTTTTCATTCTGACATGTACTGCTTAATCTATCCAAATTTTTGCTCACACAATCCTTTATATTATCTGTACTAGCACTAGTAGTTGTTTCTTCAGAAGATAAATGTTTTTGTTTGTTTCTGAAATATGTAATGTTTGTAGTATAATATCTAAATGAAACTGATAGAAAAATAGTCACAACAACTTAGATAAAAGATTTCTACAGGTTTGTAATAATTCCCTTTAAGCAAGAAAAGGCAATTGGTACATCAAATGCAAAGTTCTAGTTGTTGCAGTGTGCAAATAATAAGTTTTAATTTGATGATTGTAATTTATTAAATGACAGCGGGAACTAGATTTCACATTTCGTAGGTTCAACGCTTCATTCAAACGTTCGAATTTTTTAAATTCGCTGTAATCAATTTTTTTTTTAACTAAACAGTATCCCAAAACTTTACCGCATGTAGAAGTAAAGTTTTGGGACACTCTGTATATCTTATCTCTGTATCTCAAAAGTGGCAATTCCCATTGAAACCTATAAGAACAAGGTTTGAACAAAATATGCCATACAGTTTCACAATACAAGCCTTACACATGCTTACTTTGGGGCTAGGCTAATTGATTTAAGTGTTAGAGTGGTCAGAGTGATGATAACACCAGTCTTAAGAATTATACATAAATAAAATTGCCAGTTAACCTTGGCATAGTATATTTTTTACACGTGGGATTGATGAAAACTTCTGACATTTATAATAATTTACACAAGCTTTCTGCAAGCATTATGGGAATATGTGATAAAGTAAAAACAAACCTTTCATTATTATGTATATCATTAGTCTTTGATCTCTCGATATTTGTTTGTTTTGCTTTTTCTAATTCACTGTTTTGATTTCTATTTATAATCCTTCTTGGCATGTTTTTATTTTGTATTGCATTCAAAACCATCATGTCCTTCCTGAAAATTTTAGCACTTAAATATACTAACATTTAATAAAATAAATAAAAAAGAAATAGGTAGTAACATTTCCAAATAAGTACATACAACATTTATTCATAGGGGCCTGTGCCCCAGCAGCATGATAAATATTTTAGGATCCAGCAGTCTGATGTAAGGTTTTTTTTTTATATTATCACTAGCTGAGCCAGCGAACTTTGTTTCGCCATAAAAATATCCATGGTAGAAGGGTGAAACTGGTGGACCACCCTTAACATTTAGAAGGTTGACAAATAGATGTTGTCCGATTCTCAGAGCTATTGAATATGCATATAAATTTGCATGATTTCACGAAAATCGGTCAAGCCATTTCGGAGGAGTTCAATTATGCATACCGTGCCACGAGAATTTTATATATAAGATTTGCTTTCAATTTCACTATCAGATTCAAGATTTCCTAGAATACTCGGTGCACACTCTATGTCTAGCCTATCTATTCTTAATCTACTTATTGTTTTTGGTTTAGTCTCAATTTGTTGATACAATTTTAACTACTTTCTGTTTTACAAGTAAGTAATCCATTATGTAATTTTTTATTTGGAAACTTTTTAATGCCAGCACTAACATTTCCTGTGTAAACTTAATAAGTCTCCTCTCTGTTTTATTTGCATGTATGGACAACCTACTGTTATAATAACAAATACAAATCCTTTTGTCTTTGTATTTGCTATTCAGCCATGTGAAGTGCGAATGGGATTAGAAATTGTGATTTCAAAAATTTCTACAAATGTTATCTTGCTACACACTCTTTGTGATATATAAATTTTTTTTTCCAAACCAAAGAGTATGCTGAAGAAGACTATCCCATAAAATATGTGGACCTTTACATCAAAATCTCTATGTCTTTGTTTTCTATAGATCTTTAAAAACTATATTTATTTTGTTTTGGTAAGTTCATCAAAAATTTACTGTCAACATTACTCCACCACTTTACACCACTTAATTTGAAATAAAACTATATTTGGGGATCTTTTTGGAATTTAATTCTTGAATCTTGCACTTTGATAATGTGTAAAATCAATGAACCTCTCGAAATCAATGTTAGTTAAAATTATGAGCACTAAATAAAAGTGTTTATAAGAGGGTTTACCAACTCTAAAAAAAATAATGCATTTTACCTGATTACTGTTCATATAGGGACAATATGCATTAAAAAATAGGTATTAGAATCAATTCAGGCATATTCTAGTAAGATAACAAATTAAATAAAATATTTTATTAAATTTGTTATTAAATTTAATAAAATATTTTATATGTCAATAAAATAGAAGGTACTTACTCAATGTTCAGTTTTGTGATAATTTGTGTTTTTCTTTCTATCTCTTGCTTAGCAGTTTTTAACAGTGATGAATAATTAATTTCTAATTTCTTAAATTCTGCTGAAACTTTATCAAAATCCTGCAAAATATTCTAAAATATCAATGCACATCCATTCTACAACATAATCAACAATTAACATTGCATACAATATTAGATAATAATAAAATATAAGTAGGTGTTTCTTGCAAAATAATCAAGTCGTGTTGATTTAAAAACGAAATGAACTTACTTTTTGCAGTTTGTCAAGAGTTTCAGAATATTCCTCAAGCTTGCATTTCAATTCAGCATTTTCTCTTCTCAACTAAAGCATAAACAGATAAGATCTTTTTATTAGCGAATAAGCTCAAAACCATTGGGAACATGAATGTCGATACACAATAAACGCATAAAATTCAGTCAACAAGTACGAAATAAAAGCTAATAAAAATATTTCGCGCTAAAAATTATGTACTCACTTCTGCGACAATGTTTTCATCCTCATAGTTTTCCAAATTGTCGTACAAATTCTCCATTTTTTAAACTGAGAGCTTATATAATTTATTCCTGAAAGAAATTCATCAAATAATTTCCTTTTCATCTGATTTCATTCGCCATTACCAATTTATAGCAGGAATGGAAACGAAAAAACAATGGGAAATGTGATGGGAATTTGGAGTCTGTGACAGTGACATTTTAAATATATTTTTTAAGATTCTCCCTTATTACGGAAGGCAAAGAAAACAATGCCCATAGAGCCTAGTCTTCAGCTATATTAATCTTTTTTATATACATTAGAATGTCGATGTGACGCATTCTTATATTTCTTCGAGTGTTTGGCTTTGCTTTTGGTGTAGCTTCTGTGAGGTAGTTGACACTACAATAAGGGTCTCACGTCCACTTGACCAGAATAGCGTATTTTTTCGTGGCTTCTGCCACCCCTCAAAGCTCGTTTTCTTTGAAACAATAACATATTTATTTTATTATAATTAAGGTGCAGCATGCGATTTAAAAAAGAAAATCGTGTTCTAAGAAATACAGTAGATTCGTGTAGAAAAACAGAAGAACAGGAGATCTCCTGTGAAATCAGGAGACCTAGCAAACCCTGATAACCATGCACATGAGATGTGTTTGTAATATTCTCCCTTTCTGGCAAAGTAAAGAATATAAAGTTCATACAATCATATCTTAAACTTATTGTGTAATGGTGTCGATTCCGGCATGATTCTCTAAACTTAAAGCTAAATTTAACATCAGCCTCTCTTTTCCCTCTGTATAGAGAATGACAAGGATACACCGTTGTCAAATTTAAGTTTAGGTTTAAAGAACCCTGCCAGAATCGTCACCATTGTTATTACATTTTTTCATATAAACTTTTTTTTCGAGGCTTGTATTTGAACCCTTGTAAATGTTTGTTTACTGTATACGCTAGTGCTGCGCTCTGACCTGAGAAAACTGCAGTATTAACCATTATTGGCACTAATTTTCCTTTAAAATAATACTTTATTTACAAAAAAATATTATTTATTAAATTATTAGTCTAGGCATTCGCCGTTTTGTTACCTATAGTCAAAAAGAATATCAATTTTCGAAAATATTATTTCTGTCCTAGTGTTGCCAGGTGACCCGAATGCGCGGGGCGTCCCGATTTTCAGGGGTCTGGGGACGACGCTAAATGTCCCGATTAATCAAAAAATTAAAAAATAATCGCAATAAATTAAAACGGGACTTAAAACCCCCTTTATTTTTTGTTTACTGTCCCGACCTGCAACCCTCAATCCCGATTTTTTTGACCCCGTGTACCGATTTTAAATAAATTGGACCTGGCAAAACTATTCCTGCCTGTTTATAAAGTAACTTCATGTTGCTTCTTGAGAATCCTTTTGTGATGGGAAGGATGTGAGGGGTGATGTTGAAGAATGATAATAAATTATTTTAAACATCCTCTTAATCTAAATCAAAACTGTTATGCTTTTGAACCTTGAGTGTTTCTTAAAGTTGGTGAGAAGTATTAATTAGATCTGCCAGGATCTGTGCCTCTTTTGTTCCACCCACAACCTTCTCTGTGGTTCCTGTGAGATGATCAAACAGCCGTTGTGATGCCTGTCTGTAATAGGCTGCAGTGGATTTATGAAGTTTTGCCCAGTTGGAATTTAAAATTCCATCATTTCCTTGAGCCTTTATGTATGATTCAATCATTAGAGAAGCCAATGTAATGTGATTCAAGATATTTAATCTCATAAAATATGAGTTGTTTATGACTCTTGCCCACCGGACAGTTCTGTCTTCTGAAGCCATTGCCAATTGGATCACGCGAATTTCTTCCCAAGAGCTTTGTGTGGTTGTGATTAAAGATTTCTTTAAAACATTTTTCCAACTCACTTGATGGAAATTACATACTTCAACAATGATATGAAGAATGCCCATTCCATGTCATGCAGTGTGAGTTAAAACACTTAAAACTGATGCTTCTACACTAGCAACTGTCATTGGGTTTGTGCTCTTCTCTTTCACACATAAAAGCACCAGTTTTGCAATCATTGAACTTACAGCAGGATCATTCTTGGAGATCCCAGCCAATGCATCTATACATTCCTTACAAGGAAGAGCATATTTGTGAGAGAGGTTTCCAGGAACCAAAGCATTTAGATTTTTCTTATATTTTGCTCTTTCTGAAATCCATTAATTATCTGGGCCTCAGTTTTTGTGATTTTTCTGAGCATGGTCTAAGCCAGGAAGTTTTCTAATTTGAATGCATGAACATGAATTCTTCTAATAATCTTATTTTTTATTTATTTTATGTCTTAATCCTTATTGATGTTTCTTTTGCTATTGTCATTGTTCTTTCTTCTAGACTTTCAAAAATGATCTTGGGTGATTTATCCAGGTCATGAATTTCATGTGGTACTCCAAAAGCCTTAAGAATTGCATCACTGTTCTCTTGCTTGTTACGATCATTTTTAGATGTGCCAGAAAGTTGATCAGTGTTTTGTAGGGTTTCATGCTCATTTGGATCAGTTTGAACCATGTGAGCAGTCTCTCCTTTCATGGAAAACCCACAATCATCATCTGTATTTCCCTTGTAATCACCATTCCATACAAGATCGACAGAAGGTCGTGATTATCTTTATATAAGATTGATGCCATTGATAGTACAATATCTCCCACGGTATGAGTATTAGGAATGAGTCCTGTTGCATAAAATACTGACAATCTAGCTAAAACTTCTGTTTGAACAGTTAAATCCCAAACCTCTCTCCGTATTTTAAAACGTGATACAATTTCCTCACAAACCTTATCTGACCATCCTTGTTTCTCAACTCGGGTTGTCTTCTCTGGGATATCAATCAACTCCTGGAACTCTGGTTCACTCATGTGCAACCCTATCTTCAATGTTTCTTCAACCATGCTCAGTGTAAGATGTCCGAAATCTGTATTATACTCAAAATCACAGGGAGATAATCTTCCCATGAGTGGTATTCATAGAGGTTTAAGGTGAGGTGGTATTGGTGTATTGTTTTTTGATGAATTGTATAATGTACTTTTTTTTAGTAAAAAGTTATACCCAACACGGTGAACGGAACGTAATACAAGCAACCAGAAAGCTATTTCGGCTTCCTTCCAAAACTTACCTGAAATCCCCCCAAAAAACAGGTTTTTGAAGAAAAAACCCTGCAACATGAAATTTTTTTAATTAAAAATACCATTTTTAGTTAATAGTATGTATTTTTTGCCACAGCATCCATTACTGAATTAACGTCTTCACACGCGTCGTCTTTCCCACTCCTTTGTTAATCTTCTTACATAACTTTATTGTAATGATGCCATTATTTTACCAAGTTGCAAACAATTAAAAGGACAAATTACCAAATTGCGAATTAGCAAAGCAAAGAGGATAGACAGTGTCGATTTCGACCTTTAACAACTGACTGATTTGTTTGACTTGACTGACCTAGCGACTGAGCGAGACGGAATAAATAAATAAATATTTCCAACACTTACACCAATTAGCCTAGCCCCAAAGTAAGCACTGTAAGGCTTGTGTAATGGGATGCTAGGGTAACGGATAGAATATATATACTGTACATATATGACAGATGTACACCATGACTGGTGTACAAATGCTTGCATTGATCACACAAACATCTGCCCCCCGGGATTCCAACCCGGGAGGACCTCTGGAGTTGGTGACACCATGAAACCCGGTGTACAAACCACTCGGCCACGGAGGTCAAATGGACCGAAGAATACTTTTTTAAGTGGGCTTGGGACTTAGGGGTCCAAATCGGGCTCACTGCATGAATACAGGTCAGTGGGCCCGAATCTGGCATGATTCTTCAAGCCTAATAAAATAAAATTTGACAGTCTATCCTTGTCATGCTCTATCAGAGAGAGAGAAAGAGAAACTGTTGATTGACTGTTGATCGCGACTTTTTAGCAAAAATATTTTCCTCCAATTATCCCCCCATCGTTTTAAAAACCCCCCAAATTTGGGGGAATTCCCCCGATCTGGCATCAGTGTCGTACTTTTATTCCTTCTAGTCCTGGGCAAAGTAGTTCGTAACTGAGATCGCTCTTCGCTCAGTTTAGGTCGTCGCCCCTAAACGAACTAGTTCGCTCTCCTAGTTTGTCAGATCCCAGCTCGAATAAGTGAAAGGCAGATCGTTCGCTAGTTTTTATACTGCTTTGACTGCATGTGATAAGATTAGGGAATGCTGTACTTTTACCTAAAAACATAGCCCTGAAAACCTCCCAATTAATATTACTAGTGATTATAATAGCTTTCTTTAATTTTTTCCTATTTGGAATAAATATGCATAACTTATTGTTGATAACTTAAACATAGATATATGTATCAATCACAGCAGGGCCGGCCTCGAAAAACACCCTCCCAATTTTACTTATGTAATGAGTTTCAATATTAAATTCATCATACATAGGTAAATTGGAATTATCAAACTTTCGTAACGACAGACGTTCGGTTAAATCCAATCTCGCTCTTTCAGTCTTGAACTATGGAACAAGGAATTACTTACTTTACTCTTTGCAAGGAATGAGGGAACTAATCGAATCGTTTACTTAAGGGAGCGTTCTTTCGACCTAGTTCGTTCGCGAACTACACAAGACTAGGGACACGATATCGAATAGAAAGTATCGATACTGTACTCATGAGTAGTATCGGTAAAAAAGTATCGTACTCGTAAAAGTATCGAAACAAAAGTATCGATACTTCAAAGTATCGAGTACATTTCATTGGGCCTTATCGGATCCTCTGTGGCCCGATGAGCAACCCCCCCCCCCCCCCGGGGGATAAAAATTGAAAGAAAAACAATCCAATTTTATTATAGTACGTATAATAACAGTAAAAGGACATATAAATTCACAAATTGCTATATAATATAATGAAAAGAAAATAGCTGCGATTTCTGACACTTAAAAAGTGTTCATTAATATCACATTAATAATTAAAATGTTACTTGAATCTGACACGCAGTTAACGGCGGCCATTGGCATGCTTCACTCAATATTATAATTATAGAAGAGGTTACGTCCGTCTTTTTTTCAGGTCCGTGGTTTCAAATAGGTATACACAGCACAGACAGAATAATAGTGTTACACTTGAATACATCAAATGCAGTCAAGCGAAAAGCACAATAAACGGCGAATCATCAATCACAATTCCTAACAATATGGTCGCTAAATAAATAACTATGAAACAAAACAAAGCGCAAAATAAACACAGTCACAGATTGGAAAGAATTTGAATATATCATAACAATATGAGGCGCTTGTCCAAATTTTAAAAGTATCGATACTTACTTGCCAAAAAGTACTCAATAAGTAAAAGTATCGAATACAAAGTATCGAGTACAAAAGTATCGGTATCGAAAGGAAAAGTACTCGATACCACAAAGTATCGATACTTTTTTCGTGTCCCTACACAAGACTACTTCCTCCGTTTCATACGATGGTCTTCTCTATGGTAAATTCATTCATTTCATTCGTTTTCTTTCTGCGTCCATTCGCGGTGGTGCTTGGCTTGTTCGGTGGCTGTTGAGGACGTATTATTTCAATGTTGTGTACAAATAGATAGTAATTTTGCAATAATTTTATTATTATATTAGTTTTAACTTAGTGTAGTTCGCGATGTTTGTGCACATAAACTTGGCAATTTTTGTAATTTCCAATTATTAACAGTGCAACAGGCTATTGAAAGTTGAATAGGGTCCGTGTAAACAAGAGAACATTCAGATTACAAGATGCCCACAGACTCGGAGTGTGATTGCGATTTGGTGTCGAAAGAGTGGCTGTTAGCAAAGCTACGTTCTGACGAGAGAGATACAATATTGATAGATTGTCGGGGGTCTAATGATTATGCAGTATCTCACATACGTTCAGCCGTGAATTTTTCCATACCAAGTATAATGTTACGTCGCCTTGCTGCTGGAAAGATTGAATTGGCGTCTACAGTACAGTGTAAAGAGCTGAAAGCTAGAATAGCTCAGTGTCGTACGCGAGGTACATTTGTTTTGTATGGAGATAGCACATCCAAGGACCCTGATTCTGTACATGGAATCCTCCTGAAGAGGCTCAAACAAGATGGTGTGAACGTCGTTTGTCTAGAAGGTAAGTTGATCAAACCACGCAATAGTGATTTTATTACTTTAAAGTAGATTTTGTATCCATGCCATGAAATTATACCACAATTTTAGTTATATCTAACTATGTTTCATAAATAGTGGCTAGTGTAAATAAATAAATAATAAATAAAATAACTTTTGCCACCAAACAAATGATGTAAAGCTATGTCTTACACTTAATTACTTCTTTAATTATATATTTCCTTCATTTATTTTCTAATGGACAGTTTATTCAGCTAATGTGAATATGACTTTATTTATCTATCTGAATATAAGAAAGCCAGTGTTCATTTTAATGTGCTGAAATTTATAAAAATAATTATTCGACTTAAAAGAATATTGTTTTACATACTCACACATTTACTAGGAAGGTGCATTTGAATTATTAATACTTATAAATAACCAATTATACACAACTTATGTATGAAATCATTTTCATAATTCATCTATAAGTTCGGACTGCCCATAGTAAATAGGTTTACTAGGACTTTTTGAACTATAATCTAATCATTTGACTTTGCTGTCCTAGTGAAGAAGCTTCAATATGATCTTGAGAAAATAGCAGAATTAAAGTGATATTTTCGTTGTTTTGGATTTGTTGCTACCTAGCTACTTTTTTTTCAAATATATATAGTTTTAGTTCAAACTACCTTAATTAAAATAATCATTAAAAAAACCTAGTAATTATAGCAATTACTGCGATTGTTACTAGCAAAAGTAGGTTACTGCAGTTACTTAATGTGCTATTACATATTTCCAAACCCATGTGTTCTAGCTGTAAACACATTTTAAGACTAAGTTAAATAAATAAAAAAAATCATAGTTTTTACTGTAATAGGTAACAGAAGTTACCTGAAAAAGTTTGTAAAATTTCTTACTGCATTCATGTCAAGCAATTTTTGGATCTCCAATAATACTCACAGCATCCTACCTTAACAAAACATGTTCCAAAGTACTTATAGTTCCTGGCATCAAACCATTATATAGACCATGTTTTGGTGATACTAAATCTAAAATAAACTCATCTATTTAAAACTAGTTTTAACGGGTTAATGCATGAACTTTATTTATTTATTGATGTTTCGCAGCCTTTACATCTTCATTATCTGACGATGCAGACCTGAAAAGGCTGTGAAACGTAAATAAATATATAAAGTTCATGCATTAACCTGTTAAAACTAGTTTTATTTAATGAGTGATGTGCGTGAAAACCTAAGAAATAAATATAAACTCATCTGTTGAAAAAAACTCACTTACTATATTGTTCACTAGGATGGCAGAACTTATAACTTCATGTATGCTTAGAACTGAATGTTTTCTTTAGTCCAGGAATTTTAAAGGAATTTTTCCAGTTAGAAGAACTTCTTTTTCTAAAACAGTTATTCAATCATGTAACTGTATCATCCATGTTTAACATCATCCTACTATCTACTAATATTATAAATTTTAACGTTTTTTAAAACTACTGAACTGATTTGGATGAAATTTGGTGTATGCATATACTTTCTAATCTGGATTGGGACAAAGAATACTTTTTATACCGGAAAAATGTTAGGGGACTGTGATTTTCAAAAAAACTTAAGGTAATGTGAATGAAGTCGTCAGCTGCTAGTTTAGAAATATTTTTGAAAATATGTTCTTTACCTTTTGATTTTTATCATCCTTATAACAACTTAAGCTCAAGTAAAGCTAATGCCCTGCGCAGACAAGGGACTTAAGAAATATTATAATGAAAGGATTCAGGAATAGTGACAAGAATGTCTGCAGAGGACTTGTGTGTGTGCGAACATTTGTTGCCCGATAATTTAGAGAAGCGCTCGCTATGGAAGTAAATATTCTCAGATTATATTTTGTTAACATGAACATGAATTATAAAAAAAAGAAGACCTTTTAAAGGAGAATGCCTGGGTCCATCTCTTTAAATCAGATCTAGCGCTTAACGCACACCAAAGTTCGCTGTGTGAAGTGTGTTGCTGTACCTAGTCACATGTCTTCTATTTTTATAGGGGACTTCCATGTACTTTTGTCCTGTCCGGTCTCTCGTTGTCCTCAGTTCTTTGAGGGATTTTTTGTATGCAGGACTTTCAAATCTGACGACCTCCGTGGCCGAGTGGTTTGTACACCGGGTTTCATGGTGTCGCCAACTCGAGAGGTCCCGGGTTCAAATCCCGGTGGGGGCAGATGTTTGTGTGATGAATACGAGCATTTGTACTCCAGTCATGGATGTTTAATATGTATTTCTATAAAAATTTACTTATATATGTACAGTATATGTATTCTATCCGTTACCCTAGTATCCCATAACACAAGCTTTATAGAGCTTACTTTGAGGCTAGGCTAATTGGTGTTTAAAAAAAAATTAAAAAAAAACCCCCTTACTCGATACTCGATGCAGTTGTAAATGATTTATTTTGGCGGACAAAACATTCCTGGGGCTATAGTTCCTCACAGTCTGAAGTTGCTCCTACAGAATGATGCAAATTCAATGTATAATTAATCTATCCCATTCTGGTAATACATACATACTGGTAATAAATCAATGTATTTTATTGACAGTTCATATTTAATTTTGTATGTATGTTTTACATTATAATGTGGTTCACACTGATATTATAAATTATTTTAGTAATTTTTACTTACTCTGGACTAGAAGATATTAAACTTATAATTTTTATTTTTTAAGCATGTAACTGCTTGATGTTTAAATCTAAAGAAAATGTAACTAGAAAAAAAACACGCGGACCAGGCAGCAGACGGGACTCGAACCCGCACCCTTCGCTATCCGGGCGAATGCACTGACCAATTATGCTACCGCGGACCTGACGGCCGTGTCGAAATTTTTCTAGCCATTCTTATGCTGCAAGGCAGCGCCATCTCTTCGCATTGTGGGTAACCCACAATGTCAAATGAATACTTTTACATGTATTAAACATTTGAAAGAAGAGATAGCAATTATAGTTATAATTTTTTAAGCATGTAACTGCTTGATGTTTAAATCTAAAGAAAATATAACTAGAAGAAATTTAAGATATTATACTTTTCATTTTTATGTGATAGTACTCTATTATTAGTGCATAACATTCGTCCGCTTTGGATTATCTAAGTTGAGAACACGTAATAGGTACCTCCCTACCTACAAGTTGCCGCTACAGTCATGTCGGTCGTAACGTAATGCTTAAATCCATTGACAAAAAAAAACATGCCTACTTACTCGCGTAGTTCGGTACTCGCCTAGTAGCTACTTATTATCAGATCAGCACGATACGAATGTAAAGAGGTAGCTGGCTGGCCGTAATATATTTTGCCGTGTTATAGTCTGAATTCAGTGGCAAAGAAAATAACGACGGTTTGTGTAATGCCGGTACTTCACATTGTCATTTGTATTAGCTATTTGTCATTTTGTCATCAAGTTGTCTTCAGTTACTTTAAAGGGAATGAAAAGGAGAGATTGTCAAGTTTAGACATATCAAATACAAACAGCCATGTGAAGTACCAGCTTATACGAAAACAGTTAAACTCAAATTACGCAAAGACGTATTTTAGCGACTGCCATGCCTCATGGTCACACGTAGCTTTTTAAAACTACTCTTTACAGCGATCATCCATAGTTACGCTATATCATCATCTTAGAATACTAAATTAGTTTTTAAAAGCTTGCGGTACATTAGTTCTTAATTGGGGTCATCTTACATAAAAGGTTCTGAGTTCATAGATGCTGCAAAAAAGCCAAAGCAAGTAGTTGGATTTATTGATGGAACATATAGTATTATTTAAGCCCCTTTTCTGTACACATTAACACAAGGGCAAGTCACTTTGTTCATTATATTTAGATGGACAGGGTAGATACATCGGACACATATGTCTTGGACATAGAAAAACAAATAAAGGTAAATTAAAAAACCAGACTGCTTTATTATTACTTCAAATAAAAACTGAAAAGAAAAAAGTCCAGTAGTCTATAATTTTGATAAGTAAGGAACAAAGCTACTTTACCAGTCGGGACCTTAGCTCTTAGGCAGTGACCCATTACTGAAAAAATATCCATTCTTTAATATCTAATGGCTACATAAAATTATCTATATTTTATTTTTTTATGTATGAGATAATATTTTTAAGTTTCATTAAAATGCATTCAGTATTTTCTGGGTGAAAGAGTAACAAAGATCCATACACAAACTAAAGATTGAAATTAAAAGCGCAAGTGTTTAATATACAACTTTAAATCGTTGTTGATCCTAAAGATGATTTTCGATTATCTAGACAATGATACCACTCTACATATTTCGTAAACTTATTTTTTTTTCTTTCTCACGATATGGCGCCTAATTGTCTTCCTATTGAATTTCGATTACTATCATATCTTTAGTAGCACTGCCATGACTTAAGCGAATCGATTGACGTATTAAACATCAAAATCGGTGCAGGCGGTAGTTCTCTACTGTGCCACAAACATACATACATACATAGACTGTTAACACTATACCGTCTGCGCGTTGCGCTTCGTGCTCTTCATTGTCTTGCATTGCGCAGCAGGGTAATAAATAGGATCAACTTTTATAATGGTAGGGTGCACAAATAAGATGGAAAAAAAGACGAACAGATGTAAATACGAAGTAGTCATATACATAATTACACATACATAAGTAAGTACTTACATATAAATAAACATACATATAAATTCATACATACATATATAAACATACATTGTAAATAAATACATAATAATGACGACTAACGTTTATGCTAGACTGCTTGTTCCTGTAAAAAGCTTCGTAGCTTGGTTTTGAAGCTGATTTTGTTGGGGGTCATTCTGATATCTAGAGGGAGTTCGTTCCACAGAAGTATGGTTTTGACGAAGAAGGATGAGTGAATCGTATCAGAGCGATGAGATGGAACAATAAGTAAGCGATTAGAAGAGGATCGAAGATTTTTAGAATGAGCGGTACATAAGTACTGAAATTGGGAAGTCAGATAGAAAGGGGCATTTGGAGAATCCAGCAACGAGAACAGAATGGTCAGAGCCCGCATACTTCTGCGCTGCCTAATAGGCATCCATTTTAGAAGAGATCGGTATGCGGACACATGATCAAATTTCCTAAGATTGAAAACAAATCGAATGCAGTTATTCTGAAGTCGATCAAGTTTATTGAGTAGATCTGCATTCAGATCGAGGTACACATCACCATAGTCGATTATAGGAAAAATATAAGTTTGCACAAGCATTGCCTTGATGTTGATAGGCAAAACATTTTTCAAGCGGTAGAGAGCTCGCAATGTTCCAGTTACTTTTTGACAGACACTACCTACCTGATCCTGCCATTTAAAATTTGAGTCAACATACAAACCAAGATTTTTTGCTTCATTACTAAAAGGTATCAAAGTGCCGTCATAGAAGATAGACCCAAGATTGCTTTTGTCAATTGTGCTCATCATTCTTGATCCACCTATTAATATAGCTTGACATTTAGCAGCATTGACAGTGACACCAAAATTGTCTGACCATGTTTTGATAGCGTTTAAGACACTGTTTATCGCATCAATGGCATTGTTTAAATCATCAATACTTGCTTCGGTGTACAGTTGTAGGTCATCAGCATATAGATGATACGAACACTGAAGTTTGTGAGTTATAAAATCAATAAAAGTTGAAAAAAGAAGAGGAGAAAGAATACCGCCTTGGGGGACACCAGTTTTCAAATTGAGCCAGGATGAGGATGATTCCCCAGACTGCACCAACTGCTGGCGGTCCCGAAGATAAGATGAAAACCAAGTCAACACTTAGTCAGAGACCATAAGATGGGATAATATGGAAATTAGAATATCGTGACTGACAGTATTAAAAGCGTTTGAAAAATCGATAAGAACCGAGCAAGTAACTTTACCGTTCTCCATCCCCGCCCTAACATCGCCAGTTACTTTAAGGAGTGCGGAAACAGTGCTATGTCCAGACCTAAATCCAGATTGGAGAGGGTTCATTAGAGAGTTTTTATGAATAAATTGGGAGAATTGCTTGTGTACGCAGGCTTTTAGCACTTTTGACATGAAGGGGAGAATGGAAATTGGTCGAAAGTGATTAGGCTGCGTTGGATTATTAACTTTGAGAAGAGGCCGGAGATAGGCTTTACGCCATAGAATAGGGAAAGTACCAGTGTCAAGGGAGAAATTGATAATGTGTGTTATAGCGGGAAGAAGATATGCAAGAATAGTGACGATCATGCGACGGCTAATATCATCACATCCCGTTGCATTGGATTTAATTGAAAGTATTATCTTTTTGATCTCTGCCGGTGTGACTGGTGAAAAATAGAAAGGGTCAATCAACATTAGGGCGCGTTAAACCATTTATAGAAGCAACGGCGGATGCTGTAGATGAACGATCCAATTTCTGAGAAGTTGTGAAATGGCGATTGAGATCGTTAAGGTTCATAGAATTAGATAGGTCTAAATGTCGCGATATGCCGATACCTAGCGTTCCGAGGAACTTCCAGATATCAGCAGAAGATGAAGAAGAAAGGTTGTTGAGAATATATCGGCGTTTGGCATTTATTCATATTTTGTCCATTAGAAAATAAGTAAGGGCTTTGGCATCTTGAACTACAAGTATCGAATAAAATAGCTTTTTTATAATGATTGCCGTGTAGATAACCTCTTATCGTAGAATCACTCAATTACAGATTTTAATTACCCTAATTATGTATTTGTAACAATAAGCTTTCCATTGTATTTTCAGCGAATCGCGAAATTGTTATTTTATTGTAATAAAGCGTAGCTTTCGGGGAGTTCACCATTTCCGTTTTCAGTAAAAGATAATTAAATATCTTTGATGTTTTAATGTAAATTATAAAGCAGAAAATCAAAATAAGAGTCTAAAAATAAATACCTAGTCGGATGTTATTACAATACATCGTTATTTAAAGTTACAGGTATGGGTACCTAAAGTACCTTTACACAAAAGTGTGTCAGCAAATCATGAAAGAAAAATGAACATTGCTCTCATTAAAGTGTTTTCAATTGAAAGAATAGACGTTTCGGTGCTTCTTTAGTTATTATTTAAAGTGCGAGGGGCAGAGTCGCCGGAGCGGAGGTCGGCAGTCGTGGCATCCGCCCGCCAAACGTGGGAGAGGAAGTCGGCAGCTCATTGTGGCTCCTCGCCCGAGACGACTCAGATTAGGATCGCCGACGTTGACGCCCGTACCGACCGTTTCTTGTAACTAACTATTCTTCATTTTATGGACTGTTAAACTTCCAACGTTTGCGAAGACGATTTGTAAGGTCGTTTTGCCAAAATCGTGTTTATTCGATTGTAAACAGTCTTGTATAGTTTCGCAGTAGATGGTTTTCAAAAAAGTCACACTGTAAAGTACTAAACCATTACATTCTTTATTTAATTCTTTTTGGTGCCAGCCCTTTACCTACTCTAGAGGTTAATGAATGAATGAATGAAATTTTTCTGACACCTACCCCTTTCCCTTGTAGCCAAAACCTTACTCAGTGAAGGAAACTACCACTAAAGACATACAAAATAAAAATTAATGAACCTCCGAACTCTTGCTGGGCTAGGGAGAACAAAAAAAATATTTTGGTTGCCGCACAAATAGAAAAAGGTTTTTGATTTGGGTTACGAAAAATTGTAAACAATAGACTGGTCGCTTTCTTACTGTTTAACATGTTGGCGCGGCCAAATTCGTTTCGACGTAGAGGTACAACGATGAATGCGATATTTATTTAATACTTATTCAATATATCTTGTATTACCTTGTTCCTGATCAAGATCTTGATGATGATCTGCCTCTGTAAGGGGTACGGTGCGAATTTACTAAAATGCAATACCTAATATTTCAATGACTAAACAAATTTATGCAAAGATCGCCAAGTTAAATTTTAACGGAAAAATATTCGTTAACTTATTTATTTTTAATTTATTATGTTATCAAACCTTTTCCATTTTCACTGTAATAATAAACCTATAAATCATTTGTTAAAACGGAAGCTGGTCTGGAGCTCAAATAAACGGAAACACGATTTATAAACGAACTCTCTCCCTACAAAACAGTGAAAGAAACCAGTGTTAATGCTGGTTGCTGGCTAACATAAACGCGCCGATCAAAAGAACTGCCGGATGCGAATTCTAAAACGCCCGACGGAAGAACGACGCAATCGCAATTGTATTAATACGTTCCTGGATCTCTGACATCCTGCCAATTTCATCTGGACTATATTCGATGTCATATCAAACCTTCCTTTTAGCAAATTTCATCTATTTCATTTCATCAGTTTGTATTCTGAACACCAGCTATGATTAAAGGTTACTTCGGTTTTATTTTGGAAAACCTTGATATAAAAAAAGGCAAGGTAAGGGTAACATTTTGACCAAATTGCATGGAGTGTAAACAGTGTTGGAAGAATCTAAGAAAATCTGTTGTTTAAACTCGGAAAATACAAATGTAATAACATGAAGGTTACTACGAGTTAAATACGGGACTTTGAACGTTTTCAATAGAAATCTTCAAAAATATTATTTATGTATCTTCAACGCATATGACAGAACAAGCGTTAACACCGTGTAAATTTATCTGACTGTATTAAAATAACTGAAGACACAGGTAGACATAATCACAGACTGTTCTGGCCGATCGTAAAATAAGTGGCACGTGCGTGCGAATAACAGGATGTTATCTGGTCTGCACTGCACCAAAAGTAAACTGACGGAACCCAATATCTAATAATGGCGGAGGAAATCACTTGCATCTGGCGAGGCTGACCACTTCGCGCAAACGTAATGTAGCCGATGTGGAACTTAGAGGAAAACGAAATGGGAAAAGGAAGCGAGGCGTCGTTAAAATGAATCGCGTCAGCTTTGCACGACGAAACAATTGTGCACGCTTAACCTCACGATCGTGATCCATCGAGCACGTAATTTCAAGCGAATTACGCCAACAACGATACCTCCATTGACAATGATTGATTTATTTATTGGGTTTCTCGAAGAACATCCATCTGCCGACCTTGTAGGCAAATCTCAAAGTAGATTTGAATGGATCATTCATGTGTTTATTTTACGATCTCCAAGGCGTAACATTGACATTGCCAGATTTTTTTTGCGCACTGATGTAATGTCGAATTATGTGATTACACACAGTGCCACTCGACTCATTGTGCTTTGATTTACTCGTGTCTCGTTACGGTACGGTGGTTAGGGATAAAAAATAGGCTTAGTTACGGTGTGGGGCATGTCGAGGTTACACATTTTATCAAAGCGTGTTTTGTATTGTGTGAAGCGATGTTGGAGCGATGATGTCAGTTCGCGCTACGGCTGGCGGCAGCAGCGGCGCGGTATGGTGATAACCCAGGCTAATTATCTGCTGGCGGACGGCGGCGGCCGGCGCCACTCTCATTATCTGTTCGAGACGGGTGATAGTAGGACATGCCCTCCTGTTTATGTCATGAAAATTGAAAACAAAACCTTGCATAGTTACGAGAATAAGCGTTAGATTGTTTTCCTGATAATTATATAATGTAGCGTATTTATAAATAAACTTTTTTGTAGCTGAAATAGTTAATTTATAAATACGCTGTGACCAAATAGCTAATGTACATTATAATTTCCGTCCTGCCAGTATCCTCCACGTTACAGAAGGCTAATTCAAATTAATTCTTTAGTGTTGTCCTCCTGAGTAACGTTATAGTTACAAAGAGCTTCAGGGGTAGGGTAACTAAAGAAGGTCAGCAATTTTTAACCTTAAACTGTACTTTCAAGGTGTATTCATTTAGACAAACTTGACTGATTCTATGAAATCAATCCGAAAGCCGATGATTTCACATATTCCTAAAATTGGGAAGTTTGCTGTCGGCATTATTACAAACAAAATAATTATTTGTATAGTCAATTCATAAAATTAAATATTTGTTCTTCGCGCAGGGTTAACTAAGTGTTTTGCTAAATAAAATAGTATAAATAAAACAAAAACTAAAGTTTTTTTTTTTATTGTTTTAAACACATATAGGTACTACTTAACTGATATCAATAGATATAGAACGGCCAAAGGGTTTTCAAAGGACGGGCCGTGGCTATGTGCTATGCTAAGCTTTGTATGCGATCATAAGTCGAGCACTAAACGAGGCCACTTAATTGGTATAAATTGTCTTGTGGTAAGACCTATTAAAGGGCGATGTTCTCTGTTTTAACCCAACTGCACAAGAACTGTATTGGGCACACTGTAGCGTAGCCTAAAGTGCATGATTTATTTGAGCGGGAAAGAGTGAAATATTTTGTAATAATGCGTTAATAATACATTAAATTTATAAAATTAACATTACACAACACATGTTAAGGGCCCCTTTACCCGAAAGTTTAGGCATTTTACGCACAAAGACGGCTTGCGCCCGCGTTGCGCGGGAGCCGTCGCGATTTGAACTCCGGTGACCTTTGGAGGCGGGCGAGCACACCACAGTATAAATAAATCAGTAGATCAACTTTATTGGCTATCCTAGGAATGTTGTTAGATATGATTTGATGAGTATTATAATGAAAGACAAGCATGATAAATAGCCTCTTATAATTACAATACAAATTTGGACTACATTACATTTGTAAATTATATACATCTCAACATAGTTAAAATAATATTTAATTCAGAAAATATGGAAGTTGGGATTTTTGGATGGATATTTGTTACACTTACACTCCTAAGCAACTGAACGGATTTGGGTTATGGCTAGGATTGCAACGATATATCGTAATATCGAGACCAAAATATCGATATTTAAAATTCACTGATATCGATAATATCGATATCAGTGAATTTTAAATATATATATTTAAGTAATGAAATTTTCGATAATATCGATATCGGAAATTCCAAAATATCGATATTTCGTAGACTAAATTTGAACACAATAATATCAATTAATTTACCTGCTATGACTATCTAAATTAAAATAATATCGAAATAACTATTGCTTTGAAATCGCAAGAGCTTATAGATGTATTAAAATAATCTTGAACCCCAAGAAATATACTAAACTGGTGTGGATTCTGGCATGATTCTCTAAATCTAAAATTAAATTTGACAACAGTGTATCCTTGTCATTCTCTATACAGAATGAAAAGGAGAGACTGATGTTTAGTTTTAAGTTTAGATAATCATGCCAGAATCGACACCAACGTATATAGGTATAATCGTATACCTAATGGTAACTCATGCACTTAAATAAAATCCTTGCCTCTCTTTCTAGATAATTGTCAACTACTGATTAATTGAAATTTAATATCATTGTAATATAACACAAAATAAAATTAAGAATCTTATACAAATCGTACTTTTTTTTAAGCTCGCCAAGTCAAGAAAGTAAGATAGGTATAGTAATTTTGGAAGCTTTGGGCTTACCCTATTCTGAAGCCATGGGCACACCCCTGATGTTTTAACATTTTAAACAAAATAAATATCTTTGATTAGAAATTGCTTTTGATTTGATACTTCTTACAGCGCTATAAAAATATAGAAAATATCTATAAACATCGTGTTGAAAATGTTGGAATGGCTGATATATCGGATCGGATATCGATATTTAGCCGCCCACATTATAAATATCGATATTTTGGAAACCTTTACTTCCTTAATTTTAGGTTTTTGCTTTACAAACTTAATTCAAAGCAAAAAAGAAAAAAATATAAAAGAGATAATATCGAGTTAAAATCGTCGATATATCGGATATCGATATTTTCCTGACTTCGATATAAATATCGATATTTCAAAAGACTTTTCATCCCTAGTTATGGCACATAGATGAGGCACTGCTTCATTTCACTGCTGGGGACGGATCACCATTTGAGATATGTAGTAACAAAAAATTAAAATTCTTTAAAATTTAGTTCTCGTGTGCTAGGTCCAGGTTCATTTTCATTGTCACATATATTCCTCAATGCTGGGCGTGAATCTCCTGTAAGAGGGTGGCGCTCCTCTTCGTGTTGGGGACTAGGATCTGTAAGCAAATCAGGATTTTTTTGTGTTAGAGGCTCCTCATTTTCCTTATTTTCAGATGGTATGTTTTCTTCAAGTGTCAGATTTCTTATGCCCATACCACGCGTATGTCTGGGATTTACAATTTCAGGAAGTAGACATTTATGGTAAAACTGTATTAATTTGGATTCCATCTTTGATTTCCAAAATACGTCATCTTTTTTAATTATTTCGATGTGCACTGGCTCTTTTTCTCCGGCCCAAATACCAAGTAGACATTTCCTTCGTCTTGCTACATGCAATTGTCCCTGTATTTGGTAAAACCAATTACTATTTTGATTAATTGTTGCAGTGCGTGTTTTTTTATTAAATTTTAATATTTGTATTTTATTTTCTTCAATAGCTCTTTTCATGCCAAGTTTTGATGCTGAAAAAGGACATTTGACTTCGACCAGAATGTCATTTCCGATGAGCCCATCTGGCGTGGCACCAATGAAAGGGAAATCTTTATCTATAAACAGTCCACAGGGCTCAATAGACACGCTTTCTTGTTGTTGTATCTTGTGCAGCGCTTGCTGCTCATTTTCAATACCATAAGCAATGGATGCAACATGGCTTAAATTTGTTTTATATAATATATTTTTAACCAGTGGTGCGGTGCCTTTTGATACTTGCCTCTTGCAAATAGGGCCGAAATTAGAGGCAGTAATAAGATTTTTTCGAATCTCTAGCCATTCGCTACTGTCTCTTTGTAATATTGTATTACGCTCAATCGCATCCTTGTCAGCAGTAAGAGTTTCTAAATTTTTTAGAAATTCTTCTTTAGCTAATTCCAGTTCAGACTGGGACATGTCCGGATCTAAACTGGCGGGGCCGTAGTCATTTTGTTTTTGTTTCGCGTCTGCCAATTTCCTGATTTTCCTTTTTACGGGACGTTCTGAGCAGTTCTTCCTTTTCTGGGCTTTTTCCCTTTTCATTTCCACAACTTCAGCTAATCCAACTTCGGGTAGATTTTTATTTGTTAATGTGTTTTGCACATACGATATTGCTGATTTTTCATTAAATTTTACCACCGCAGCATTACACCTTCCTTGGTAGCCTCGTTTCAAGGCAAAATTTATTCGCTTTCCTCCTATAAATTTCGCAATAACATTATTGAAACATTCGACAATATTAGTATTCACGTTTTCTATTAAACTTCGTGATTTTACTGCCACATTCGAAATAATAGAATTCATCCGGAACAGAAATGTTGAATTCTGAATGGATTTCAGTCCGTCGCTATTCGCTATGTGCACGACAGAGCGCCACCTACAATACGCAACTTTCCGGGATTATGCCAAATAATGACATCAGTTTGTATTTTATTGATTTCTAGTAAATATAGTAAATTAAAGATAAATAAAAATTATTATATATTGTATAATAATTTAAATACTGTCGGATTTCAATTCGGAATTTAGTACAGTCAATAATAACTCTTGTATTGATGTAATCTGGATTGAAACACTTGGGCATTGTTGCTTGTACGGTGGCTCTATTCGGCCAAAAGATTAAATTAGCAGTTGAACAAGCTAGATTTTGTAAGATCGAATGAAATATACGTGAGATTGTGGTTTTTTTGTACACCAAATTACACACTCAATGCTGAAAATGTCAAGCCAGTTTTCATTTTTATCAAAAAAATCAGAAGTCGGTCTTTAGTGGAAACTGTACATTTTTTCATAGTTAATGTTGTTAATAAAAACTCAAAATTGCTAAATGACACACCAGAAGGATCTAGGAGTTCTTGATCATTTGTTATTGATGAAATACCAACAAATTCTTGACTTTTTGTTTCGGTAGATTGATCCTCATACGATTTTTTGTCAGTGCCACAGCTTTTATCTTTCTTTCTTGAATTATTTGTCATTAAAATTCTTGATGTTGGATTTCAGCATCACAGTGATCACTGTAAATTAATCTAATACAAATAAAAGCTGTATCTCTTAATTTCGATTCAGAAAACATATTGACTTGACATCCTTGATCGATCATAAAAGGTTGAGTTTGATTTAATTCACTCCCTTCTTCAATTATTATTTGACTTGATGTGGTATCTGAGACTTTTGTGGTTCTTCGTTTTGTCAAGCGTGTATATCTAGCTAGGACCTGTGAATCATTAACCTTCCTGTTTCGATATATATCAGGGAATATCGTAGGAGCATAACTCGGATTTTCTTCCTCGTCTGATTTTTCGTTTCCCATAAAATGTTCACTACAAATTGTGTCGTCAGGTTTGGGATACCATGGCGACACATCAACACTAAAATAATAAAGACAATAATGAATATCACATAAAATATATAGCGCAAATAAAATTGATCATAATTTAAGGTTATTTCGCTTACTTATTTCTTTTTATGGCATCTATCCATTTATTTCTTTGATTTAATTTCCAGTCCAATGTAGGAAATATATACACAGACTATTTGTGCCCTTATTTTTGCAATTCACAACACAACAACATCTATTAATAGGCATTTTAAAAA